AACAGAAGAAAAATAGAACTGTACAAAGAGTTTTAGCTACCATAGTTTATCATTTGCTACATGATTGGTCAGTGAAGGAGCTTTTAATTTTTCACTTGTTGAAGCAGTTACCAGTTCAGAAATCATAGATTATAGTACTTGTATCTCTGATAAGTGCACCTTCCAACCATGAAAATCATGCCCAAATCATTGTTTTCCAAATGTTTCATAGGTTGAATCTGGAAAACTGGTATTAGAAGACGCTGAGTTTGACTTGGGAAGGGAACTTGAAGGACTCGTTGATATGTTCTCTGTACAGTGCATTAACCACAACGTGGAGACTGTACTGGATCTCTCTGGTATGACTCAAACTTCTGGGTGAGAGACAACTAATTTTTTCTAATCAAAAGTTATGATCATTAATCTGTATGTTTATCTGAATATAGACAAATATGACAATCCCTGTCCTTTTTTTGTTTAATATTTTCAGATGATATTCCAAAAGTAGTCGGAGGAGACTCTGCCAGAGTTGTTCAAGTTTTTGCCAACCTAATAAGCAATTCCATCAAGTTCACAACATGTAAGACGAACATTTATTTTTGTAACTATAGTCTGAAATATAAGCTGCTGCTAACTTGAACATGGATTGGAACCAAGAAAAACACTACAAAACTATTTCAAGGCATGGATGGTGCTTAGAACAACCAAAATAAATAACAAGATATTTTTTTCATTAAAATGGGAAACAAAAGTTTAGATTAAATCCATAATTTAGTCACCTAAAAGAGTCAAGGATTGACTCGTTCTGAATGGTTTTGGACAAGATTGAGGTTTAAGATAATGAAAAGTCTCTTTTCAGGTGGATTTCTTTTAAAAGATGGGTGCAACATAGGACCATATGATTGAGAGTTAATTTTGGTTGTTAAGTCATTATTTTGCTCTTAAGAGATCTCAAACCCTTTTCTGTTTCTCCAATTATCTCAGAACTCATAAATCATGGGCAAGAACTACGTAAGACTGTTTTCCAATCTCCTTTGAATTTATAAATCTTTCATCTCACTGCTTGAACTATTGGTTAATAATTCACCTTTATGGACAAGTATATTGAATTGTTTGTATGGTTTTAGACATACAAACTTCGAAGAGTTGTACCATTTAATCAAATCAGATGATAACATGGAAAGTAAGAGCCTTGTTTTGATTTAGACAAGCTTTTGAATTACACTCATTCTAACATCTAGCTAAGCAAAACTCGATATATATTTCAAAACACAGAAAGAACAAGTATCATAGATAAGTATAGCGACAATGAACTGTTACACTCCAAGAGAATTTATCTTTAGATCAAACTTGCATGATTGACTGTTTTAAATGGCTTTCAGCGGGTCATATCATCCTGCGTGGATGGTGTGAGAATCCCAATGTATCTATTGATCCTGGAAAGCTTTCTCCGGATACTAAAAAACCACTGTCTGCACTAAAGTCAAAGTTGAAACAACATGGAAACCATATGAAGAAGGCCAGCAAGAGAGACAACAAAATGATTCTTTGGTTTGAAGTTGATGACACAGGCTGTGGTATGATTCTTTGGTTTTTGAAACAGTACGAATTATATGTATTGCCAAGGGAAACTGTTCCATTTCGAGGTACCTTGTACCGAATTATGTTCCATGATCTGCAGGAATTGATCCAAGTAAATGGGAATCTGTCTTTGAGAGCTTTGAGCAAGCTGATCCTTCAACAACTCGGACGTAAGTAATTTAGCAAGAGCAGATCTTTGTAAGCTGGTCAATTGAAAAAAACGGAAAGTTATCTAATATGGAAGAAATCCATGGACAGATTAAAGAAATGTAATTTACAGGATTTTGTTTAAAGATCTTTTTCATTTTTCAGGCATGGTGGAACGGGTCTTGGACTATGCATTGTGAGAACTTTGGTAAGTAAAGTGTCTTGATACTAAAACTCATATTCCATTACAGTACCATTGTACATGTGAAGTTATATCATACTGAAACCTTGTGGACAAACAAGAAGAAATTCTTAAGAATAATGACAATTTTTTATCTTTCATGATCAACAGCACAAAATGATGAATTGCATCATACTGTCCATTACAGGTTCACAAGATGGGTGGAGAAATCAAGGTTGTAAAAAAGAATGGTCCAGGAACTCTAATGAGACTGTTCTTGCTCCTCAGTACTCCTGCAGATGGCATAGAACAACACAGTCAAGTGGAATTTGCAAAGCACAGTGTAGCTGTGAGTAAAGTTTTGCTCTTTGGAGCTGCAAATAATTTTGCCCTTTATTTTTGTTGCTCAACGTCTCGTTTGATTTTCGTTTTTGCATAAACCAAAAAGAAAAACATCTTGAGACTCAATATTAGAGCTTTTACTCATCTCCAGGACTGGTTTGGAGAGAGCATTTTACTGTGTCATGTTTACCCTTCTAGGCATTCTGAGGAGTGCACATTAGAGTACAAGTAATTAGTATTCCGTCTAAACCTCATCCTAGAAAATAATAATTCTACTTTCAGCTTGCCTGAGCATCAGCCATGGGAGGTTGCCAATTTCTTCATGGTTAGAACGTAGAATTTATTATCCAGGCGCTCAAAAAGCAGTCTAAGGTGAAAGCAACACTAAACAGACATATTTAAAACATGAATGCAGGTGATCCTTGCCCTACATGGAAGCATGGGTAGATTGATTATGTCCCAATGGCTGTCTAGAAATGGAGTACCCACTTTGGAAGCATCTGAGTGGAATGAACTGACACAAATCCTTCATGAACTGTTTCATGCCAGAACTCGTAATGGTTTTGACACTCATTATTCACTAGGTGAACCTCTGAGATCTAAAGTACACAGCCTACAAGATATGAGGAACCCAGTTTACATCATAGTTGTTGATCTGGGGCTGCTTGACTTGAGCACCATTATATGGAAAGAACAGCTTAATTTTCTTGACAAATTCTCTGGCCAAGTGAATTTTGCATGGGTGCTGAATCATGATACTTCCAATGCTATAAAGATGGAACTCCGCCGGAAAGGACATATATTGATGGTTAATAAGCCATTGTACAAGGCAAAAATGCTTCATATTTTGGAAGCTGTCATAAAGGACAGTTATGCTGAACGCCAAAAGAGAAGTCCAAATGGAACAAAAGGTACAGCAAAAGAAGGTGATTCTCATGAATGTCTCGAAATTGATTCGAATCATTTTGAGACATGCAGCTCTGATGATGATACTTTTGAAATTGGTGGCGCTAATTCTGTAAGTTCTGCCGATACTGGAGAGCAACAAAGAGAAGGAACTGTAAAATCCAGTCCATCAAATTGCCAGACACTTAAGAACTGCTTAGTTGAATTCACGGGTTTAGGATCGGAACTGAACAATCTAAGGGCAGAAGAAGATCAATGCACCGGCAGGCCTAAGTTACATGACACTGATCAAGATGCCAAATGTGAAAATTCCAATTCCCCAGATCAACTTTTAGTCTGCAGCAGCCCTAAAGATAGAGATAATTCATATGCAAGTAAGCCAGCAAATGGACAGAAATCTCTTGAAGGCATACGGATACTGCTTGCAGAAGATACACCGGTTCTACAAAGAGTAGCAACCATCATGCTGGAAAAAATGGGAGCTACAGTAATTGCTGTTGGGGATGGACTGCAGGCTGTAGACGCCCTGAACTGCGTGCTCGATGGAGAAGAATATAGAAGGGAATCCTCATTGCAACAAAGAAGCAGACTGCAGACAGAAATTTGTGCTTCTCCTCTATATGATTTGATTTTAATGGATTGTCAAGTAAGCAATCACTTAGAACATAATGCATACTATCAGTACTACATATCAAAAGAGAAAAATCAGAAAGTGAAGCATTGTTTGGTTAGCAGAACTTAAAGTGATTCAAAAGAAATGCCAACTAAAAAAATGCTTCATGCTGACCTACTCGTAGCATTAAATCATATTTGCACGACTTTATTATGTTGTAGTGCTTGCTTAACTTTTCTGTCTTCATGTTAAAACAGATGCCAAAGATGGATGGCTATGAAGCAACAAAATCAATAAGGAAATCAGAAGAAGCAACGGGTTGGCACATCCCCATCGTTGCCTTGACAGCTCATGCAATGTCATCAGATGAAGCAAAATGCTTGGAGGTGGGCATGGATGCTTATCTAACAAAGCCAATTGATTACAACTTGATGGTGTCCACCATTCTTTCACTCACTGAAAGATCAGCCTAAAGTTTCTGGCCGAGCAAAAGCTAACCAAAGAAAAATGTAGCGGCTTCAGATGGATGCTAGTTTCTTGGAGAAAAAACAAGTTTAACATTTGTACTGTTCCTAGGATTAGAACCAATTTTCCTCTCTATATCTTCTGTTCTAAAGTGGTTTTATCTACTGAATAGACTAATGCTTGGCTAGTTTTTCTTTCGTAAATGTTTCTTTTGCATAAGAATATATCAAAAGATTGCATAATCAGCTTATTCTAAATGTTCATATTACATGTGATTTCAAGTTTTCAAAACTTGATACAAGAAGCAAAAAAAAAAAAAAAAAAAGAATAAGGAAATTAAATACTTCAATTATGGATTTGATTATTGCTTTTTTACTTTCTACAAATTTGTTAGAAAATTTAAATTATATTTAAAATGAATAATTGGTTAAATTTTAATATTCTTTGAAAATTGAAAATAAATAGTAAAGTTTAAACATGGTTTTCTTCAAAACTTAATTTATATAAAAAAGATAAAACCATGCATTTTGTGAATAAAATTACTGAAATTTTTTATGTATGATTCTTCAAAAAAGCTTTAAAGATACATGCTACTCCTACCCTTTTAATGTTTTTGTTACACAATTAAAAAAACAAATTGTTTCTATTTATTTATTTATTTATTGCCTAAAGTTTGTAGTTATGAGTAAAAAGGAAAAAATACATAATTGTCCCTTTAGCTTTTTATTTTGCAATTTTAGTCCATTAAAGCTTTTTTTTTTTTTCCTTTTCTTTTCTTTTTTTTTTTTAACTTGTCCCTTAAGTTGACCCTAACGAAGGCAAGAAAAGCTTCAGCAAGTCCGCAGCAGCTAAAGCAAATCCAAGGAATAGAAGAAAATGGCGAGATACGACAGAGCGATAACGGTGTTCTCGCCGGACGGTCATTTGTTCCAAGTGGAATATGCCCTCGAAGCCGTCCGTAAAGGTAACGCTGCTGTCGGTGTCCGCGGCACCGATATCGTCGTCCTCGGCGTCGAGAAAAAATCCACCGCCAAGCTCCAGGACTCCAGGTTTTTTTGTTCTTTTAGTATACTAGCCCTTCAAATTCGTATTTTCATTCCATCTTGCCAAAAAAAATTGATTCTTTCTACTTAATTTTCGTTCAAAATTAAACTTAGGGTTAGGGTTTATGATTTGGTTTGGCTATGTCTATCATGTTCACTCATCACTTTTCCAAAAGAACTGATCTTTTGGCCCAAGTTAGGAAAACTGGTTTTTGATAGAGATTTTCTTTTAACTCCAAAGTATAATTTATCTTGATGATGCTGAAACTAGAAACTTCAGGAATTTTATGATTAAAAAATGTATTAAAGAGATCATTTGAATTGTTGAATTTCCTCGAGGTGGGCTATTTTTGACCCTTTTATGACTTCTGTTGTGTAGATCGGTTAGGAAGATCGTGAATTTGGATGACCACATTGCATTGGCATGTGCTGGACTTAAAGCAGATGCTCGCGTCCTCATAAATAGGGCTCGAATTGAATGTCAAAGCCACAGGCTGACTGTTGAAGATCCTGTTACTGTCGAGTATATTACTCGATATATTGCAGGTCTTCAGCAGAAGTACACTCAAAGTGGAGGTGTTAGGCCATTTGGTCTCTCAACTCTGATTGTGGGCTTTGATCCGTATAGCGGTGTACCATCACTATATCAGACAGATCCATCAGGGACATTTTCCGCTTGGAAAGCTAATGCAACTGGGAGAAACTCTAACTCAATACGAGAGTTTCTGGAGAAGAACTATAAGGAAACCTCTGGACAAGAAACCATTAAGCTTGCAATTCGGGCATTGCTTGAGGTAAGTTTCATTTGTTAGTTCTTTATTTGTTAACTTTAACTTTGTTTTCAAGTGTTTGTTGTTCCATGATCTCTCTTCTTTTAATGAGTGATATATAAATTGTGCTGCTTCTCAGTTGTCAGTTGTTGAACCCACATATATATGAATTAAATCTATCTTTCACTTGAATTCATTTCCCTGCATGTCATATGCTTCATTCCTTTTAAGATCATGCATAGACCGTTAAGCCTTATAGAAATGGCTTATCTATATGTGCCGCTAGAAAAAGGAAAATGCCTGAATCTAAATTATGAAATGGAGCAAAAGGCTTGCAACTTAGAGGAAATGCTATTTATGTTTCCAGAGAAAATAATGATTTCATTAGTGCATTATTCTGAAGGAGCACAAGCACCTAGGGGAAAATGTTCCAAGTATTGTTTGTGTCATATGATGTAGTCATTATTTCTTGCAATGCATTGCGACTTGGAAGCATGATGACAATAACGATTTACATGGTGAAATTATAAATTGCCAGATTATAGAAGAACAGCTTCAGAGGTTAAGTTGTAGGTTAAAGTATACTTTTTGCTAGTACTCCTTTCAACAGCAGATTTGCGTGCAGTTGATTATATGGTTTACTAACATGGTAGAGGTGCATGCTTTACGCCAAATAATGATTGCTTATCTTTATATTTCTCTTGCATGCAGGTTGTTGAGAGTGGGGGAAAGAACATTGAAGTTGCTGTGATGACTAAGGAGCATGGTCTACGGCAGCTTGATGAAGCTGAAATTGATGCCATTGCTGCTGAGATTGAAGCAGAGAAGCAAGCTGCTGAAGCTGCAAAGAAGGCCCCTCCAAAGGAAACATGAAGCATCAACCGTGGACTTCTTTTTACTTTTCTCTCCTTTTTCCTTTTTAGGGGGTGAGTGATTGTCTGGGGTCTTTCAGTAGTCGACTATTGATGTATTCAGCCTCAAACTTGCATTGCACCCGTTGGACCTTCATAATACACATCATGGATTTACTTACCATCGTTGACATTGTCATTTTATTTGCTTTTAGGTATTTCAATTATGAATTTCAACAGTTCCCGGAGGTTGAAGCTATTTCTGCAAATGTTGTGGAATTGCTTTGATGCTAAAAGGAAAGTAAACATCCAATTCAGTTAATATTACCTAGACTTTCAAAGATTAAGCAGTATGATTCTGTTCCCCTGTTAATTTTGAGACCAATTAAACGAGATTATGTCTTTCAAAAACAAAATAAAAGAGATTATGGGCTTTGTTGTGCTTTAGCTTTGGATTGGTCTAGAAAATGTTAGAACTATCTGAACCCATCTTTTTCAGACCTGTGAGGTTCTTTGGCCCATAGCTACAGAAAGGCTCGAAATCACTCCAAAAACTAGAGCTTGAGACTAGAAAATGCTATTGTCTAAACCCATATATTCAGGGCCTAAAAGGTTCTGTGGACCATTACTACAGAAAGGATAGAAATCGGTCCAAAAATAACTTGGGCTTAGACTAGAAAAATTTAAATCCATTCTTTTGGCCCATAGCTATAGAAATGCTAGTTACAGATCAAAAAGCAATGAAAAAATTTAATAATGGCCCACGCAGGTCTCAAACCTGCGACCTTCGCGTTATTAGCACGAAGCTCTAACCAACTGAGCTAATAAACCGCTTGGTTTTTATAACTAATATTAAGTAAATGTAGAGCGTCGAGTTCAAAAGAAGACGGGGTTGGCAAACCCAACCAGCCACGAGTTCCGACTCAACTTTATAAAGTTGATTTTTTTTTTTTTATAAATTAAGTTTTGAATTGGGTTGAAGTTTTAAGTAATCTTAATTTAATCCGATCTATATTATATAAATTTTATTTTTAAAATTTTTAATTTATATATATATTTATATAATTATATATTTATATTTAAAAATAATATTTTATTAATTTTAAATTAAATACTATTTATATAATATCGAATCGAATTTAAATTTAATAAATATAAATTTGAGACAAATTCAAGACGAATAAAAATCTAATCTGATCCGTTGCTTACCTAAAGGAAGATCACATGTTCTGCTACTTGTTTCAATCTTTTTTAACCCTTTTTTTTCTTTTGTTTAATAATAATGAAGTGATTAACTTTCGTATTGATACGACACTTGGCTGAGTCTCTTTCTATCATGTGACCCAACCTTATTCCTTGAATCTTAGTTTTGGATTAAAGAAATTTAATCACCCAGCAAAAACAAGATTTTTTGTTTAAGATACCCTATCAGATAGAATGAAAATGGAAAATCCCATTTCATTTTTAGTTTCTCTTTTAAAATATTGATATGAGTCTTTCAATTTTATCTCCAGCTTTAACCAAATCATAATAAGATTCAAATAGATGAGGGAGTTGGAATTTTCCTTTTTTTTCAATAAATTCAAATCAGGTCAACTATTCAAGAAAGTTTAACTTTTTATCACTGTTAAAGACTACTCTTACTTCTAACCTAACCGAAAACGCTTTAATCATGTCGCCTTCTGAATTAAGCATTCATAACCCCCTTCTATGATTTGAATCCAATTTGCCCTTCCAGTTTCCCCTATCCAAATTAAGCTTTCCAATGGCCGTTGAAATGTGGAGTTACGAGAACAACCTCAAAATTTTCCAAATCTAGCATCCAACCCCGTACATCTTCTACCCGCTAATATATGAAATATATCAGCTTGATGGCAGGTTGGGCTCTCGGCTGCATGTTCAAGTGGTGGTATGTTGCAGTCATTTATAAACAGGAAAAGTACACTCCAGGAGGGCAATTTAGTCATTAAAACTGGAATATAAAAGTTTTCTGGCAGGCTCTCTGACCAAAGCTGACTATCTTTGTTACCCTTCGAAACTGCTATCTCTCTACCACCATCACCACCGAGTAAACAACCAAGTACAGACATTTTCATGTTCAAACAAGTAAAGCGTTAACTTGAGGAAAAAGATATCAGCATTGCTGTGAAAGATAGTTTCTTGAAGATGAAAGAGCTGCCATTGGTGAAAGCTGAAGTGGTAAAAGTAACAGATCTTTCGACAAAGTAAATAACCCAGAAGTCATTTTCTTTTTGTAAAGCAGTTTCCTTTTTACTGTTTGGTTAAGTTGCTTCAAATTTTAGAGAGAACAAAAAAGAAAAAGAAAGTTGATCTGTAGTAGAGGGGTGTGCAAGGAAAATGGGGTGTTGGTACTCAAAGATTGATAGAGAAGAGACTGTTTCACGTTGCAAGGCGAGAAAGAGATACATGAAACAGTTGGTTAAAGCTAGACAAGCTCTTGCGGCTTCACATTCTATGTATCTGCGCTCTTTACGAGGCACAGGCTCAGCTCTCCTTCAATTTTCCGACAATGAAACTACTCTCCACCTCCACCACCATGCCCCTCCGCCGCCTCAACCACTGGCACCGGCACTGCCCCCAATGAGTCCTAGTTCAGACACTTGGACATCTGCTACCACGGCCTCCCCTGCTCTGCCGCCGCCACCTCCCCCACCTCCATCGAGTAGCTGGGACTTCTGGGATCCATTTGTTCCTCCTACGGTGTCACGGTCAGCCACAGAGGAAGAATGGGAGGCTGCCACGTCAGTGTCTGAGGTGGCGGTCACCGGCACGACCACCGCAACCGGGACCGTGAGCGTGGCGGCGCCGCCTTCTGTGATGAGTGGGTTCTCAAAAGATACGGGAAGTGAGCTTGCTATGGTGGTTTCCAGGAATAGTAAAGAACTAGTGGAGATTGTGAAAGAGGTTGATGAGTATTTTCTTAAAGCCGCCGATGCTGGTAGCGAGCTCTCGGTGCTGTTAGAAGTTCCAAATTCCAATTTTTCTGCTCAAAGTAAAGGAGGTAGATCTCTCTCATTCTTTCCATTTTATTTTCTTTTGATTTCTTGCTGGGGTTTCATTTCCACCTGTTAGTTTGCTTTTTCTTGTTGCAGGTAAAGTGTATAATTATGGTTGCAATCTGACTCCAACAACTTGGACATGGAATTGGAATCCGAAAAGGGAAGGAATTGGGAAGTTGGGAGAAGACAGGATTGGAGGAAATATAGGTGCTAGTGTTCTTAGTGGCGGCCATTGTTCTACTATAGAGAGATTGTACGCTTGGGAGAAGAAATTGTACCAGGAGGTCAAGGTAATAGGTCCAATCCCATGTTTAGAAATTTTGTTTATTCGTGAAGCATGATCTGTTAGGTGATTTGCCTTTAAATTTTTTTCTGATGCAAGTTTCAGGCAAGAAAACCTTGGATTTCTTATACTAGTATTTTGATGTCTGATGAATCAAAAGGGTGGTCAAGTCCTGTGGCCTATACATTTATTCTTAATGTTCTTTTTAATTAAACAATTTTGTTGGTGATTTTTTAGAATGCGGAGGCTATAAAGATAGAGCATGAGAAGAGGGTGGCCCAGCTGAGGAAGCTGGAAGTAAAGAGAGCTAACTATCTGAAGACTGAGAAGACTAAGAAAGAAGTTGAAAGATTAGAATCCCAAATGATGGTTGCTTCACAGGCCATTGAGACTACATCTACTGAAATCATCAAACTGAGAGAGTCGGAGCTTTATCCTCAACTCCTTGACCTTGTAAAAGGGTTAGTCTTGGTTCTTTATCACTCTTCTTCCATGTACTACTTGTTTTCCGTTTACCTTGAGCATTTAAATGCTCGAACCAATAGCCCTTAAGTTTCCACGTGAATGTGTTTCCTCATTTTCTAGTTCATAAGCATTTGGCAGATTGAATTAGTATCCTCCACATAAGCAGATAGTAGTTCATTCCTTGTTTGGAATTTTAGAGAAAAAGGCGATATTTGGGGACCCTTGGTAATTCATATTGATAGGCATTTGTCGCTGTTCACTTGGCTTTTACTCTGTCAATGTACGTTTTTTCTGCACTTCTGTTAGTACTTTGGACTATAGTCAAGGGGAAATGCAGATTCGGGATCCACTACAAAAGCTTTGGATGCTCAGACTCAGATCAATGGCAGCAAGATAAGCCTAAAAGTAAACTCTAGTGCTGCTAAAATGGCCATAAAAATTGTACTTGTAATTACTTTTGACTGCTTTTGCTGCCATGGTTGTTGCCCCTATTGTTTGCTTTTCTTGCAAAGACGATAAACCGAATCAAATTGTACTCTGTGTACTATTGTTGAGGTTGATGGATAATGGTCCACAGCACAATAGTCTAGTGGGGTCTCCATTTAGATTTTAGAGTTAACCTTAATCTTTTATTAATTCCTGTAATTTTCAGTGTCTTCGTAGGGAAGATAATCCCATGGTCCTAGTTTTATGCTGTTTTCAAAATTGGGCATTTAGCTAATGGACTAACCTGACTAACTTGACGGGCGCTTCTGGTTCCAGTTACTGCTAAAAGAATCTTAACCATCCGTATATTTGGGTCTAATGGGATTCATATGGTTCCAAGTTGGTGGCATATGTCTTAGGTTTTCAATTGGAAATCATGGGGTGCAAGGGTTGCCTGCCACAAAGAATATAGGCTTATTGTGACATTCTTAATGCTTTCCTTTAATCTGCTCTAGAGGGTTATTATCATGCTCTCCTGTGATCTGTAATTATATTCTCAGAACTGATTAAGAGAAATAACCGCATCGTATAATGTTAAATATTTGCTTGTTATGCAGAATGATGTGCATGTGGAGAAGCATGTATGAGATCCACCAAGTTCATACGCACATAGTTCAGCAGCTCAAGTACCTTAACTTTATCCCTTCTAATGAGTCAACATCTGAGATTCACAGGCAATCAACTCTCCAGCTCGAGCTTGAAGTCCAGCAATGGCATTTGTCTTTCTGTAACTTAGTCAAGGCTCAACGAGACTATATTCAATCCCTTGCAGGCTGGCTCCGTCTGAGTCTTTTCCAGTTCAGCAAAAACCCTCTTTTAAGAAACAGTCAGGAATCAAAAATTTACTCTTTTTGTGAAGAATGGCATCTTGCAGTTGACAGGATTCCAGATAAGGTAGCATCTGAAGGAATCAAGAGTTTCTTGACTGTAATCCATGCCATTGTGGTTCAGCAAGTAGAGGAGTGTAAGCAAAAGAAGAAGGCAGATTCAGCAATTAAAGATTTTGAGAAGAAGGCAGCTGAGCTTAGATCATTCGAAAGTAAATATGGCTTTTTTTCCATGCCTGAGATGAACAAGGACCCTGTTGCAGAAAAGCGAGCAAAGGTGAACATGTTGAGAGGAAAGGCAGAGGAGGAGAAGAATAAGCATGAGAAGTCACTGAGTGTAACGAGGGCAATGACTTTGAACAACCTTCAGATGGGGTTTCCCCACGTCTTTCAGGCGATGGTAGGATTCTCAAGTGTATGTACACAAGCATTTGAATCTGTTTACAACCAAGCCAAGTGTATTGATCAGGAACATGATGTGAATAGAATTCTCCCTTGAAAAAAGACAACCATACCGTGCAAAAGTGATGTTACCATCAATGCCTGCTTCTGTATGTAGAAGTTCACCTGATTCAGTTGTTGGATTGGAGTCCAGACTCACAGAGAAGTGCTGCATGGTTTTATATTTGGTACAAATCCATCTTATGCAAACTCTTGATATTGATGATTAAAATCCAATGACATTTTAAAGGGGAACGGTAGTGTTGGATAAGTGAGTTTTGTTTTGTCATAGGAAGTGTTGAATGCTTTAACAATTTGCATTGAACTATAATGCTCTGCAGTTTGATGATTGAAAAAGCCATATATACAAGCATCAGTTTGTCTAGTTTATGATTTGTTATGGAAACATATTACTAAGCAATACAAAATTTCCTTCTATCAAACTGGGGTATTGGATGGAGCAATGCACTTGCCGTGCAACCAAGTCAAGCGCCTGTCTCCATTGAGAGACGAGAACATCTCCCTAGCTTTAGGATTGTTGAATAGCTCCAGTGCAGCAAAGTAGACTCGCTTTTCAACACCTGGCATCTCATCCAAGAATAAACTGAACTGGATATTTACAAAGGAAAAAAAATTTACATATGTTTTTAGTTAGAAAAAAAAATGCACAAGCCATTATTTTAGAATTAATAGTTAGTTAATCTGGACTAAGCGTCGCTCCTTAAGCAGCAAGTATCTCTCACCAATCTTCTATGTCATCATCAGAAATTTTACTTTCTTGTTCATCTATCATACTCATTGTTTGAGAGCTGTCATCTTCGGAGTCATGAGTTTCAAGACCGCTAGATGTTCTGTAACCAAGCCATTTTAACACAGGTATATACTCTGTAGCTATAACCGATACTTCAGATAAGCTAGATGATCCACTACCCGCCATAAATCTCTGTCTTAGCATCTCATTCTGCATTGACCAGAGGAAATTTTATCTGACAGGCCTTAAAACGTAAATTGAGAATTACAAAAACTACAGGAAACTGATAACATCTAATCCACCTGATTGTGAGATAATGATCGCTCTATCTGCCAAAGATTTGGTTTGCGAATAGCATGCCATCTGGCATAATAGCATATATTCATAATAAGTGGTTCCATAATGCAAAATGTAAATGTTGTGGAATTTAGAATACAATAAACTAAAGCATGAAGATAAAACCTTGAAGGTGATGGATGAAAATTTCCATAGAGAACTCCACGAACTGCGACTGAAGCAGCAGCTGACTGTAGAACATTCTCTGTCTCACTATGTCTAGTTAACATTCCTCTAAAAGAAGCAAGAAGCAAGTCAGCATCACCAAGATATGAAGCCACAGCCCATGCATCATCCATTGCCTCATCACACAGAAAATCTAGAACTGCAGGTAAAGTTGGATAACAGTAGCATAAGGCATGAGAGAAACCAGAAGGAAAACAAGTTCCCACCACTTTACTCCATCCATCAGCATGTTTTCTCTCACACACACAAAGTGAGGTAAGGAACAATGGTAAAAACTATTCATAGCACAAGCAACTTGAAGAAAGAAAAAGGTACCATTTTCATGAAGAAAATCTGTAATAGGCCTTGATTGCCCATGTGCTTGGCAGAGTATCTTTTCTGGAGAATCCATTTTAAAAGGAAGTCTTGAGAATTTCTCCCTTACACAAAATGCATTTTGGTCTAGGAAAATAAAAACAGAGATCAGGGGTAAATATCTTCGATGAATTTAGAACAATGTTATCTACCGAGGTGAAAATGACATTCATTCAGCTAGTCCATAATGAACCCAAAAATATTCCCCCTTTATTTTCCCATAATAAATCAAGCCCATATAAAACAGGGAAAGGAACTTCAAATATTGAATTATCTATCAAGACATACCTAATGCAACTACATTTTCTTTGTCTCTTTTGTTATGCAAGAATTTTCCCAGTGCGTGAAAAAGTGTCAGTGTTTCATCCCTTCCGTATTGCGAAGAAAATCCACCATTGAAAGCAGTTAGCTCATTTGCATTTTCTTTTGGGTAACTGGGAGTAGAATTGGATGACGATAAATCAAGTTCCACATCTGGTTTCAGACAGAAGAGCTGTAAAGATGTAATTGCATGTCTAATGTCACCTCCACTGGCTTTTGCAATCAGATCAATCTCTTCAGCTGCCACATTACATTGCTCTTGTCTGCATATTCTAGAGAGTGTTTTTTTGATGGAATTATTAGTTATAGGATTAAAAAGAACCTGCAATTTTCCAGTTTGAAATCAGCAACCAGTGAGAAAATACTAAATCCAAGACCAAATTTTTTGTGAGCCTAACCTTACTAGCCCCAGCACTCTCAAGTGACAACTGTAGTTCTTCCAACCATCTTGCATTGGGGTCTGATGAATCTGCATTACCATAGTCGGTAATCAATATAGCTGTTGGTACCCGTGTTGATCTCACAAGCAGAACCAGGCACGTTTTAAGTCTTTCAAAAGCTGCTCTTCCATTTGTTACAGGAAGATCATCAATCACCAGTATAATTGAAGACTTTGAGTTCCCATTGAAAGATGAAGAGATCAATCCATACTTCCTCACTCTTTCAACAAAATTTTCAAACTCATCTAACTTAGAAGTGTAATTTATCCCTGAACAACAATATACCATCACCAGCTAGTAAGAAATTGTTAATTGAGGAACTTATAAGAAAATTAGCCTTTAGAACTATGGTTTAACATTTGAGGCTCTAAATTGTATATTCCACTTCGAATAGGATTAACAACCATAATTATTAAAAATGAAAGTGCTACATAGCAACTAACAAAAAAAACTCCTAGCATCCAGGCCAATAAAAAAAAATTTTGACATCATTGTTTCCATATAGCAAACCTGACTAACATTCTGCCCAACTTCATCATGAAATATGCACCTGAAATACCTGCACTTGAGTTATGCACATGTTCTTGCCAAATTGTGGGAGTAGGTGCGTTCCATTCACATAATTGAGTCCCAATCTGAGATGCAACCGCATGGACAGTTGCCTACAACATGAGAAGCAGGAATTTCAACTAAACTTGCAGGTAAATGCAGTTATAGTCCTACCATAATGCATCTATACATAAATAACAATAAAACAGTGCCTTGGTATAAAATGTAGAAAAGTTTATCCATTTCCAAGACAACCTACAGATTTTCCAACCCCAGCTTGCCCAGTGATGATGAGAACGGAGCTACCAATGTCACCCTGTAAATACTAAGAAAAAGGACATGAATTTTCCCAAATCAAATGAAAAATAATAATAAGAGATAATTACAATTTTGGTACTTGAACTTTGAGAAAATATACAAATTGGCACCTAAAGAATTAAAATGTACAATTTGCACGCTGTACTTTCAAATTATGTATTATTTTAATCCAAATTCTAATCCTACTAACCATATCAGTTTATATACATAGAGTTTGACAAATATTATCAGGTTATGTGTTCACCACACATAGTATTAACATCTTTTTATTAATATAAATTTAAAATATATTTTTTTATTTGAACCGTAAAAATTATCTAGGATTGACACATTATTGTTTGTCATGTGAAATCCACATGGAGTTTTTACAAAATATCTAATACTTTTATTTAACAAATAACATGCATATAACAAAATTATATCGATTAGATACTATATAAGCAAGCAAAGTTAATAGTACTAAAATTTGGATTAAAATGATACATAATTTGGAAGTTCATGTGCAAATTGTACATTTTAATTCTTTAAGTATCAATTTGTACATTTTCTCAAAATTTAAGTACCAAAAGTGTAATTAATTCTAATCATAACAAGGCGTTGCTTACTCACCATCAGCAATTAACAATAGTCACAAATCCCACTTTAATACAATAAAAGTACCTTTGGAGTCCTCAATCTTTCCTCAAACCATGACTTAACTTCTTCGACCTACTACAAACAAAAGGATAAAATTTGGATTAGTAGATTACAGATATTCACATGGATAATAAAAACCAAATTGACTCTCACCTTCTTCTTATGAACAGCAAGCTCTTCCATAGAACGAGGCTTGTGTTTATCAACCCACAATTCCTTTGCATTGCTCCTTCTAGAACCTGGACGACATTCGATTTCCAATTAGGCATAAAGTAAATTTTTAATGAAAATTTTGTTTAGAATGAAATATATGTTACATATACAAAAACAAACAAACACAAACTCGCTCACTCAAAATGCATACCAGCAGAAACCTTGAAACCATTAAAAACTTCGTTAAAATCTTCAAAAGCCAATCTCACCTGCACTAAACAACAATTTCGGAGAAAAATATATACATTAAAAAGAGTAAAAAATACATTGCAAAAATAATTATGATAAAAGTAAAATGTTTTACCTCATCTACATCGCTAGATTCTTTACTTAAGCGAAAGCTCGGGAGTCGAGGCTTTTTGGCTCTACTAGGGTTCGTACGGGTAACCGAGGACCTCGATTTCGCCTTCTCGTAGCTCCGTTTCAGCCTCGAAGAAGGCTCGTAATCTTCATCGTCCGATGAGGAAATCACGACAGTGTTTCGTTTCCCCATCGATAGTAGAACCGTCGCGACAGGTTAAAAAGTAGGGGAAATTTAAGGGTAAAATTGATCGATAAATTTGGAGCAGTTTAGAAACCCTAAAATTGGGGAATTTTTTTAAGAGTGGGAGGAAACAGAAGCGAGGGAGGGAAGGAAGTGGGAGTCCCTTGAAGAGTGAAACGATAAGAGAAAAAACGCGGGGATTTTTAGCGAAAGAAACTGGAAAGGCGTACGAGGGAAGCCAATTAGCAAGAAGGTTATGTTATTGTGTATTTCAGAGTATATCTTTCGGTGAGACAGTAACAGTGATCGTTGATTCGTTCTGTTTAATTTATACACAATTGATTATCTTGTCTGATTTAAGTAAAAAAAAAAAAAAAAAAAAACTCTGAAAGAAAGAAAGAATCAATTTCAATATTTCATCAAAAATCTTTTAAAACTGAAATTTAAAACCATTCAATATCTATACAGCATTTAAGACCTTAATTAATTTTGTTAGAATTAATTTAGGATTTTGATTTATATTTAATAGGATAATTTAGATCTTGTAAAATATCAGAATAAATTATTATATAAAAATTTTTTCGATTAATTAATATAATCAAATCGTTCGAAAGTTTTTAGAATGTTGAATATTTTTATTTGAATTATTGAAATTTAAATTGAATTTATATTTGAAGTGTATTATATAATGAAATTTCATAAAATAATTTAATATTATAAATTTGTTTTTTATAAATTAATATATAACGTTTTATTATAAAAATAAAAAATCTTCAATATGTAAATTTTTTAAATAAAAATTGTATATTTAAACTCACGAGAAGTCTCTGGCCAAAAAAAAAATCACGAGAAGTAAGAAATGAAACGTAATATGAAATATCACGACATGAGCCACCAACCCTCAATATCTCACGAAACAGAACCCTTCTGTTTCTGCCATCGTCGTTCCTTCACCAACAGCTTCCTCTCACCTCACCTACCTTCAAATCTCCTCTCCTTTTCTTCTTCAAACAAATGCTTCTTCCTAACCCCATACAATAAACCAGACCCTCTCTCTTCCCTTGTCGCCTAGGTATCCGAACCCGAAACCCGACCCATGGCATGCACGACAAACGCTTTCTCTCTTTCTCTTTCCCTTTCTCTTTCTTCCACGCCTAATAGCAAGTCATCGCATGACTTCAACCCCAACTCCGACTTTTTCATACGGGTTAATAAACCCGCCAAGGATTCTCTCCAAGGTTGGAGTTCTGGTGAGTTGAATCCGCGACGAGTTGCTGGGTCAAGAGCCAATGGAATCGGGGGGAGGATTTGCGCCAATGCAACTCAGGTGATGGATCAGTCAGTTGGAGAAAAGGGCTCTGGAGCTCCCACTATTGTGGAAGTGGATTTGGGTAATCGAAGCTACCCAATCTACATCGGGTCCGGGTTGCTTGATCAAGCTGAACTTCTCCAAAAGTTAGTTGATTCATTCATTCCGTTTAAAATTTTAGCTAATGTTTGGATATTTGCAAAGCGTATACTAAGTTGTTCGTCGTACTTTGTGTTAATGAATTGTCGTTTTGATAGGCATGTTCACGGGAAGAAAGTTCTTGTGGTAACTAATACCACAATTGCTCCTTTATATTGGGATAAAGTTATTGATGCTTTAACAAAAGGAAACCCGAATGTTTCTGTTGAAAATGTGATTTTACCTGATGGAGAGAAGTTTAAAGATATGGTGGGTTTTTCCTTTTGATTTTGAGGCATAGTTGCTGCTAAAGTCAATGGTAGTGATAGTAAAGGATGGTTGTGCTTATAGGACACTCTCATGAAAGTTTTTGATAAGGCCATTGAATCGCGATTGGACCGGAGATGTACATTTGTTGCTCTTGGAGGTGGTGTGATTGGTGACCTGTGTGGTTTCGCTGCCGCCTCTTTTCTTCGCGGTGTTAATTTTATCCAGATTCCGACTACTGTCATGGCGCAGGTCTTTTGATACTCGTGGCTCATTTATATATAGCTGTCATATTGTGCGCATTCGTTTCATACTTTTCACTTTCTTATACACAGGTGGATTCTTCGGTTGGGGGTAAAACTGGCATTAACCATCCTCTTGGGAAGAACCTGATTGGTGCTTTCTACCAACCTCAATGTGTGCTCCTAGACACAGACACATTGGATACATTGCCAGATAGGGAACTGGCATCAGGTCTGGCAGAGGTTATAAAATACGGGCTCATTAGAGATGCTGAGTTTTCGAGTGGCAGGAAAAGAATATGGAGTAACTGATGGCAAGGTATGTGAAACTTATCTAAAGAACAGTAGTTAAACATTTGAATAAATTGAATCTTCTTTTGAAATGTGAAACTTAGAGGAGTTTTGGTAACAATTGAAATTCAAAATGGTGGTTGTCAATTTGTTATTTCAAGCTTTTAGGAATATACCTTGTGTTATCCTTTAAAGTAACCAAATATGCTTCTGGTGTGTTTTGTAATATTGTGGATATGCATACCTCTCCTTGTCTACTCCAACCATGAATCTTACACTATGGTTCTTTCTTAATAATTCCGAGCTATATTTCTTCAAGTCTGAAGGTAATCAGGTGTTGATCATTGTAGGGATCCTAATGCGCTGGCTTATGCTATAAAGCGATCATGTGAAAACAAGGCTGAGGTTGTGTCATTAGATGAGAAGGAAAGTGGATTGAGGGCTACACTGAACTTAGGTCATACATTTGGTCATGTAAGTTTAATATTTGTGCCACTGATTATATTACAGTTTAGCATGTAAAGGGAATGTATTGTTTTTATCCGCCCTGCATCTATAAGCTTGTTTTTCCTTCCAACCATAACTTGTTGAATTGTAGTTTTATAAATTATCTTTGATCTTATTTGGAGTTTATGCTGTGTGACTGCATGGTTTGAAATCCCTAAAATGAAATTGTGGAATGCTTGTAAAATTATACAAAATTGAAGTTACTCACAACTCGAGATTTACTGGTATCATTTTGTAGCAGTTACACTTTTTTTTTCTTTTGAGAGGGAGGGGCGGTTGGATAAAGTTCTTTTGTGTTTACACCAGATTGCAAGAAGTTCTTTTCCCTGATGTTTTCATGTTTCATTCCAGGCAATAGAAACCGGGTTTGGATATGGACAGTGGCTTCATGGTGAAGCTGTTGCAGCTGGCACGGTATTGCACTTGTTATTGCCTTCTCCTTTATCATCCTCCCTCCATCTGTGCTAAACTTGATTTTGTGCTAACCTTAGGTCATGGCTGTTGACATGTCATATCGCCTTGGTTGGATTGACAGTTCAATTGTCAAACGAATTAACGACATTTTACTGCATGCTAAGTTACCCACTGCTCCTCCTGAAACCATTACTGTGGAAATGTTCAAGACTATCATGCTGGTAAGAGAGCCAAGTTTTACTTGTTCTGAACATCTCATATTGCTTTCTCTAATGCAGGATGAATAAGTACACTATTATTTCATTATCACAGGTTGATAAGAAGGTAGCTGATGGGCTGCTAAGGCTTATCCTTCTGAAGGTCCTCTTGGCAATTGTGTTTTCACCGGCGATTACGATAGAAAAGCCCTGGATGATACACTCTCTGCATTTTGCAACTCATAATTCCAGATTTTATTTAAGCTTTAACACAATTATTCTTCCGGACATGCTACCACGTTTTATTGTACTCTATAATTCTTACTTTTCTTGAGCTCGATTGACGAAAAGCTTATACCAAGTTGTAGTGTTAGCGTTTATGGCAGTCAATAAAAATAAATAAATAAATATATATATATATATATATATACTAAAGTGTTTTTTTTTTTATCATTTCATTCGTTATTTGCTTGCTTCTCTTGGATCCCCATTTTTATTCAATTATTTGAATGTGGTTGTAATTTTATTTTATTTTTTTTACATTTAAACCACATTATATATATGAAATTATCCCATTGGAAATCTTTGTCCCTATATTAGAGATGTATATGATAAATCAATGTTAGCAAGTTATTCGGATTTTATTTAGATAAAATTTGAATTTAATTTAATTATCATCGAGTCAAATATGAATGATTTAATTTATCGAATAAATTAAATTTGAGTTTTTTAATGTTCAATTTGAATAACTCACAAATACAATTAAATTTTTATATTTTTATTATTTTAATTATAAATTATTATTTTATTTTTATATATAATATATATATGATTTCAAATTTAAGTTTCAATATAAATAATCGAATATATTTTTTATTTAATAAATAAATTTAATCAAATGAACTTAAATAATTTAATTTTTATTTTAATTTAAACTCAAATTTAAAATTTAAAATTCAATCAAAATCAAATTAAATTTTAAATTGAATATAAATTTAAATTTTTTATTACATCAAATTCAACTCAGCTATAATCCTACTCAGATCGAGCCCTGCTTCCTTGAAGTGATTGTAGATTGTGGGCCAAAAATCTTGTGCACCGTGAAACATGGTAGTTTCCTGACCAATGTTGTGCCACTTAGGTCAAAACAAAAAGACAAAAAAAGAGGTATGTCGTGCCGCAGTCTATTTTTTAATCATTATAGGAATTTCATCGATAAGGAAATATATATATATATATATATATATATGTACACGTGTGTGTGAAATCCAGATTTATTAAAAAGAAAATCTTTTGCTCGAAATCCGAGTCAAGCTCCGACCCATCGAATCGAGCCGAACATCCCGGGTCCGCCGATTAAAAACGTTAAAACAAAGTTCAGGGGAAAGGACTTAGTTGAAGATTGGTTGGCTCAACGAACGCTTCAACGGCATAATTTCCCGGTCCAAAAAATCGAGAGCAAAAAAGGAGAAAATAATTTTCCCTTTTCATTTTCCCAGGGTTAGCTCATTCTCTAATTTCCTCTTTTGTTTAATTTCACCTAGGGTTTCTTTCTCCATTTTTAATTTTATGATTAATTGATGGAAATATGCGATACAGATGGCTGATTAAAGAATAAAAGGAATAATTTTGAGGGTTTTTTTTTAATGATTTGGAGTTTTGTCCTCAGGTGTTAAAGATCTGAGGCTAATCGTTTATTTATCTCTTTTATTTTAAGTGACAAAAAAAAAAAGAAAAAGAAAATGACCGCTTTAAGGTTTATAAAGTGCGTGACTGTTGGTGATGGTGCCGTTGGTAAAACTTGTTTGCTGATTTCTTACACCAGCAACACTTTTCCTACTGTAATTTCCCTTTATTTCCTTTTTTTAGATTTTTTTTTGGTAATTTAATGTTTAGGGTTGAATTGTATTTGTTCTGTTAGGAAAAATTAGCGTTTTGGTTTTTAATACAAGTAAATTTTATGAATTGGTGAAAAGAAATTAGGCTTTTTTTTTTCGTTTAATTTTGAAAGGTGTTGTTTTGCTATCTGATTTGGGATTGAATGGGGATTCACTCATCAAAGATTGATTTTTTGCATGCAATTTTTTTGTTGGAAATGTTTGTTGAGCTGATTTTATTTGTGAATTCGATTGGGGAAAATCATATTAAATTTTATGGCTTTATGGATTACCACAAATGGATCTTTGATACAACAATCGGAAGGAAAAGGGATTTCTGATAATATCTGATTTCATAGCAAATATGAAAATTCTCTCCCTTTACTCTTGATTACAAATTTTTAATAGGGTTTCAGGCTCTTTTGTGACAGATTTTAGGAGTTTTGACAGTTGGAGGCCAAAGCTAAGAATGACTTTACCCTTTGTCTTACATTTTTCGTTGCTGTGAAAAACAGGATTATGTGCCAACTGTTTTTGACAATTTCAGCACAAATGTTGTTGTCAATGGGGGTACTGTTAACCTGGGGTTGTGGGATACTGCAGGTTCTTTGCACATTGAACCTTTCTTTTTTTTTTAAATCTCATTGTTAGAAGCATTGTTTTGGTAGAGATTTCTGTTTCCTTTGGCTGGTCTAAGTTTGTAATTTTGGGCAACAGGACAAGAGGATTATAACAGATTAAGACCTTTGAGTTATCGAGGGGCAGATGTGTTCATATTGGCATTTTCCCTCATTAGCAAGGCCAGTTATGAAAATGTCTCCAAAAAGGTTTGGTGCAGTTTAATTAAATCTCAAACAAAGAGAAGTGCTTTGCCCACTGACTTCTATTTTATTGTTTGCTGATAACTATTTTCCTGGTTTGTTTCTAGTGGATTCCTGAGTTAAAACATTATGCCCCTGGTGTTCCAATAGTTCTTGTTGGAACTAAGATTGGTGAGTTAAAACATTAATGTTATTATACTGATTCTTGATAGTTTTGCTTCTGGCTTTATGCTGCAAATTTTTAGTGAATCATAGATGACTTAGCTGGAGTAATTGTGAGAATGTGTTTATCTGCGCATTCTAGTGTTCATTGTTTTTGTGTTTCCAAATGAGCCAGATCTTCGGGACGATGAGCAGTTCTTTATTGATCATCCTGGAGCTGTGCCTATTTCTCCAGCTCAGGTAAAGAATTTTGTATTAGTTCATACTTTTCCTGAAATGTTAATCAGTTATTTCTCGTTTACCTGTTGCATGTACTTCTACTATTTGCAATTATCTAACCCTTACCCTTCCCTTCTTGTCTCTCCGAATATTTCAGGGAGAGGAGCTGAGGACGCAGATTGATTCACCTGCTTATATTGAGTGCAGTTCAAAGACCCAGCAGGTGTATATATATATATTTAAATGTGTTCATATATTTTATATTATGGAATATGCTTTATGTTTAAGGGATTTGTTGACTTTGCTGCAGAACGTGAAGGCAGTTTTTGATGCAGCCATCAGAGTCGCCCTTCAACTGTCCAAGCAGAAGAAAACGAAGAGCAAAACACTGAAGGGCTGCTCCATATTGTGACTATAGAAAGATTATGGCCTTATGTCCTATCAATGGTCCCTTCACCCCACTATTTCCCTTTATCTTCTTCTTGCTCTTGAAGATGTTAGAATTTAGAAGCCCTAGAATATAGTCTCTCTCAACTGACAACTCGGTATCTCGTTGAATCATCTGGTGCCTTGGTGGTATTGCTTTATTGAAACTCTTGTGATCTCTAACTGTTGAAGCAAAGTTCATGGATGCCAGCCCCCTTCTCTCGACTTTGTTTTTGATATGTTGATGTATTAAGAAATTGCAAGGACAATCTTAAATTAATTGCTTTGTATTGTTTTAAAAGGCTTGGAATGTTTGTGGTTTCTTTCTTCTGTGCTTAGTTTTTTGGCAACTTGTCTGTTTGTGATGGATCTGTGGGTCCTTTCTTCCATATCTATGATCTTTTTATGCTATTTATAACCGTCACTCTTTGTTCGCTCACATTATAAGCACCAGGACCAGATATGGTCAAAATTGGTTGTATCAAAAGTAGATTAAAAGTTCGTTAAAGCAGGAAAAAGGGCTTTTAGAGTCATCAGTCTAACCAATAAAGAGATGCCGCCCTTGTGTGTTTCATTTCTCCTCTCGGAATTTCATGCAAGCTGTCTTTGATGTTATGGCGTAATAATATGGCTCATCAAAGTCCCTCTGTTTTATCCCATGCCTCACCCTTTTTGTTTCGTGGAAGGCAATTTCAAGTTGCATGTGGAAGGAATCTATTGATGTATAAAGGACTTTATGGTACTGATCATGCCTTTGCATTTTAAAATTTGATGTCAATTATCAACCTTCTCTATTTCTTCTCAATTTATATTTTATAGTGACGATAAAGACTTCAACGGGTTCAAATTTCAAAGCATCAAAACAATTGACTCGATGTTCTAACCATTCATTTGATTAATATATCTACAGAGATTGGAAGTTACATTTTGTGGTTACTTTATATGAAAACGACAAGAACAAAACATGGGGCAAAGTGGACGATTCTCAGTTCACAACTTTTTCTTGGAATTTATACTCAGCTCATCCCCTCTCGCTATATAAAGGAATGTAGTACAGCTCTCGTAGGGATATCCAGAGATAACAGCCTTAAAAAGACATAACCTCAATTGTCTTGAAGCTTTTCTTCTGATCAGACATCCACCCGTATGGCATCAAAGAGGATTCTAAAGGAGCTCAGGGAATTGCAGAAAGACCCTCCAACTTCATGCAGTGCAGGTACATGTAACAATGAAGCAGCAACAATAGAAACCAAAGTATAGAGTGTAACTTGTTCCAACACTTTCTAAAATTTTATATTTACGTGGTGAATTTGTAGGTCCTGTGGCAGAAGATATGTTCCACTGGCAAGCAACAATAATCGGCCCGAGTGACAGCCCCTACTGCGGTGGGGTTTTCCTTGTTGCCATTCATTTCCCTCCAGACTACCCTTTCAAGCCTCCAAAGGTAAAATTAACTCTCAGCATCAGTTCCTACTAAAACCCACTTTCTTCTAAGAAAAAATGATGCGGGATTTCTGATTTCTTAATATGCCTTGATGATGAATAAAAACATGCCAGGTTGCGTTTAGGACCAAAGTCTTCCATCCAAACATAAACAGTAATGGGAATATCTGTCTAGATATTCTTAAGGAGCAGTGGAGTCCCGCACTCACCATATCGAAGGTGATAATTTCAATTGAGATCTACATTTAAGCATCACAAACCCAAAGGATATATATATACATGGGTTGTTTGTAGTAATAATAATAATAATAATAATAATAATAACGATTAAATTTGTTAAAAATGCAGGTTTTGCTTTCGATATGCTCCCTTCTTACGGACCCAAATCCTGATGATCCACTAGTTCCTGAGATTGCTCACGTATACAAGACTGACAAAGCCAAGTACGAGACGATGGCCCGTAGCTGGACTCAGAAGTATGCAATGGGCTGAGCCGTGCAATTTTGTTGGCACTGGGCATTGCCACTCTCCTAGAACAGCTTGTTTATTGTAGTCAATTGCCAAACATCTCTGAACAGATCCTCCAGAACTCGAGTCTATATCTAAATAAATGAATAAACATCTTTCTGGTAGACCATCGGTCTCGTTTTGGCATTGGCTTAGCAATATTGATCTTGAATGCAAAGTGGTTTTTCTATGTGGATGTTGTTTTCTTAAGAAATGGAAACCATTGAACCAAACAAGAAAGAACTTGAAAGAGAAACGGAAAAAGTAACGGGTTGAGGGTCGTGACTCGTGAATGGAGAAAGCTACGGCTTTCCGCTGTTCTGAAACTAAACTTTAGTGATTGCGTAAAAGCAAAGCATGATAATATATAGTATTAAGGGTAAAAAGGGGGAATCATACATTGCAATAATAGACAGAAAGTAGGGCGTCCCCAAGCAGCGTCGACAAATGTCCATTATTAACCAAGGTTGAGTTGAGGAATCAAGTACGTTACATAATAACCTAAGCTTACCAACCGATTCAAAAGTGAACATTTGAATGATGAAAATTCATCGAATTCGTCCTTGTGGAGAGTAATATATTATGGACTGTGCTTAAAAGTAACTTTTATAATACCTAAACAGTTAACAGCACTCGCATTAAAAAGTTTACACATTAAGAAATTGCTATGTTAACGACCAGGAACGATGGGGCGTACAGTACAAATCCGATTTCTTTAGCGGACACAGCAGTCCATAAAAAAAACAAACTCCATCCTGAGCTCTGGCACAACCTCAAGTCATATCACGCAGTCACACCTTGATAGGCTCATATTTTCCACCTACTGCACCACCTTTCTGTTTCTGAAATTCTATATATCTGAGTGTGCTAGCAAAGTAAGCATCCGCTGCTGGATCAAGTGTGCTAGAGTCACTTTGCATCTCAGTTGTAATCAATTCAATCAGGCTCTGGATTGCAGCAACAGTGATCTGCCGGTTCCCCTTCTCAAAGAAATAAAGGTACCTACCAATACAGTGAGGTTGGAGTTCACATCATAAATGCTTAGGATAATATTTGAATAAATACTAGTTCATCACAATGAGGGTTTGCAGGAATATACTTGTTCAGTATCTCAACAAAGAGTGTAAATGATCCAGTGCTACCTCGTGCTGCATTGGACACTCGTTGAGCAGCATTTGCAATTCTCAGCGCCCGCTTGAGGCAAAGCAAGACCCTAGTTAAAAGGAAAGAAAGAATCAAAAAGAACCAACAAGAATGTGTAGCTATTATTCAATCCCCAATCCAACTCCAAAGCTCTTTTTTTGGGGAGGGAGATTTGATAAGTGGAGGCAGAAAGGCTAACTCGTTAAACCTTCCAGTGGTACCTTCTTCCAACTTCAGCAAACTCATTTAACCCATCCACCTTACCAAGGGAAACGTGGGCTAGGTGAGCACAATACAAATCAGGGCATGATCAAATGTTTAAGATCCATTGTACAATTTCGAAGTCAGAGAAGAATTGAGAAGCATGTAAAGAATGGATCTACCAGTCTTAACACATCCTTCCTTGCAAACACCCTGCGGGATGCACATGCACGTAACAGCATGCAAGCATGAAATTATAGACACAAAGGTCAACCCACCTCTCTCCATCTTTCACGTTGTCCTGATCATCAACCCAGAAGAGATGTGAGCATGCATAAACAGCTCTGCACTGATCAGGCTTCTTCAAAAGTATTGCAGAATACTGCTCAAACATAAGGCTTCAAATCAAGTTTATAGTTGAAAGATGTAAGCTCCTTTATAAACAAATGAAACAATAGAAAGATCACCCCTGTAGCCTTGTGTGTTAAAGTATCCCTATTTTCAACACCAAAGACATGCATCCTTTGAAGAGTTCCAATTATCAAATGTATTGCAGTCACCTGTGCCCTTGATTCCTATAAGAGCAACCATTAGCCAAAAGCAGCACTAAGTAGCAATTCCCATGTTTTATAGTCATGTAAATTTAAGATACTCCATAACAAGGCATTTTAATACTCAGATTGTGACCAGCTTACTGAAATTTCTTCTTCATATAAAATGTATGCTTGCGTGAAAAATTCATATGCCACAGGTTCTAAATCACAGTCATTTGCAGCCTGGTCAATAAACAAATCCATCATAAAGAACATTATAAAAAATTGATTATCTAATTTGTGATCTAAATATATATCAGGTCTAACCACCATGTACCTCAGCACACTGCAAAAATAACTGTAGTGCCAACTCAGGGGCCAGAATATTAGAGAGAGTTTCAACAGTCTGAAACCAGAAGCTACAAACATTATACAATATGCTAAAAGATGGGCAGGGTAAAACTTGAAAGAAGATAAGACATGAGGACCCTTCAAATATACATTTTTGTCTGACACATTTCATAAACTGAAATCCAAATGCACCATGATCAGAAATCATATCTATTCATTCTTCAACACCAATCATATAGGCCATATACTATAGCCAACACCCAAGCTGGCAGTATTGACTGACCACAGTTCAACTGACCTGATTCAAAAGCTGGAATATTTTCTTTGGCGTAATTGATTCCTCCTCACCCAAAGGATTTTCCTCTTGGCCTTGTAGTTGCCGAACCAACTAACAAATTAAGCATTAAAAAAAAGGCACAGGTGTAATAGCTTTCTATTGTAACATTTCAGGATTTAAAGATTAAAAAAATTTTGAAGTACATTTGAAATTTCAAAATAGTTAAGATAGAATTTCCATTTAACAGTTTTTAATATCTGGATTTTTATTGTATGTACAAGGTTTACCCTTTTTCATGAGACAAATTGTTAAGTGTTTCTAAAGGCATCAATGAAACATCATAAAAGCTACATGATTTACATGCCCATATCTGCTTAGATATCAAGAAGAATATTTATTTAGTCATCACTTGTATGGTCATAGCATACTCTAGTCAAACACACTAGATAGTAGATAGAAACAAACCTTAAGCGAGGAAAAAACAAGGGGAGGGACAGTGAAGGGTAGACGTTTTGGTCCTCCAGCCAAGATATGCTTCCTCATAGTGCATATTATCTGCAAATTATCACATAGAATGCCAAATACTTCAGAAGAAAATATATGCTAATTATAAACTTTCAGGATAAGCTCTATGTAATTATCAAGGTAAAATTAGCCATCAAAGAAAAGAAGACGACTTTCTAAATATTCACAAGGAAATCCCAGCATATGCACTTGAACTCTATGATGATCAAATCTCGCTAAATCCATATAACTATGACAACAAAAATGCTTTCACCCAATCAAGTACCTTAAACATTTCTTCTGGATCATCATTATATAACATCTGGATAAGGCGTGCAACAGAATTCTGCTCCTCCTTCAAATCATCATCATCAATCTAAATGTGTGAGCAAACAAGCAATTAATGAGGAATACCACCATTTGTAAAGGGTCATTCCAAAGCATGCTAGAAACTAAGAGGAAAATATTAATCTAGTTGCAGGGATTAAACAATCAGCACGCATATTGGTGAAGATGCTAAATAATAACCATTTAAAACTATAAATATGAAGATGGATGAATCATACTAACCTCATCATCAAGAGTCCCATCCAGATCCTGAATAAGACCTTTTATCAGTTCAAACAATGCCTCAACCTGTCATAAAAAATAATAAGATCAAGAAACTAGTTCAACTAAAAAGCAAGCTAGAAAGAAAGGGTAAACAATGTAACTATAAACATACCCTGGCAGTAGTAGAGATACTAGTTTTGTTCTTCATAATGCTTTGAATTATCACAGTTGCCATGACTTTATTTGTTTCACTGTCAAGATATTCCATGACACGAGAATAATTAGAAAGCTTCAACACTGTAACAATGTCATTATATTTCTCAAGTGGAGCACTTAGAAGTGCAGCAATCTGTTTCGTTGCTTTGTTGTCTTCAAGCTTCCCTTTGCCAGAGAGTTTTCTAACACATGCTCCCTGAACAATAACGAGGTCAAGTTACATCTAAGTTGATTTGCAACTTTTTTGAAAACAGATGATTAAATAGCTTCCTCTATCACAAATCAAGATTGAAAATGTCACCATACGAAAAACCAATGGCATGGGCAGACCTTAATAATTTAATATTTGGGATGAGATCAAACCAAAATGATTTAAGATATGAATAGATCTTGGTTTATTTGCAATAAAATCACGAAACTTAACTTGATTATGCATAATGCAGTTTAAGAAGGAAGCATACCAACACTTGATCTGCATAATCAAGGCGGTCAGGATGTACATGGAGAGTAAATGCAAGAAGAGGTGAATATAAAGTTATCACCCCAAGGTTTGGCATATCAGGCTGTGCTTCGATCACCTGCATCATAATATAGGAAAACAACTGATTATTCGAACTGTCATTTCTAAAAAGACCATGGACCATCCATCTAAATTAGTCTAAGAGGAATTATCTACACAGCCAAATTTTACCTTTCCTATGGCATTATTCAACTTCGAAAAAGCTTCTACTTGCAAGAACTCGGGCAACACATCTGCAATTAAAGCAGCATAATTTGATAGCCTTTCCATGAATCGAGATAGCACTGTTTTAATGTCTACAGTTGGCTGAAAATAGAAAAGCAGAAAAGAGTTCAGAAATTATATGATGTACTTAAGTTGCTATTTTCATATAATAAATATTAAATGGAGAATTACATAGAACCATGTTGATCCACGCATCAGAACCAACAAGAAACATAAAGGTTTTGCAAGTAATGGGGAAGGTCTAGGAACTCTAAAGACAAATAGTAGAAACACCTATTCGTGACACACCTGAAGTTGTGGAAAAGCACCCAACAATACATCAAGTGCTTGCAAGTGGTATTCATCAGGAAAGACTTGAATTATGCAATCCATTAAAAAGTATTGAGCTAGCTCATCTTTACAATTGACAACCTGTAAAGATATTTGAGACAATAGATTGCTTGATGATTAGCAAGTAAAAGTTATATATCATAATCTCCAAGACAGAACATAGGAGTTAGATTAAGTGCATTTGTGCGCGTGCAAAAAACCAACCTGTTCAAGGACTCGGGGAAGAACAGTATCTTTGTACATATCAAGATCAATACCCTCTATCTGACTGAGTACATGAAGATTCTTCCCAACCTAGATCAACAAGCAAGAGGCGGAGAGGCAAAACCTTTCGTAAGCATACTTCAAACTGGTACACAACATTATCACACTAAAATTTACCACTTGTGGGTCACAGATATTACAAGATCACGCAGCCCGCTCCTCTCTTTCTCCCGTTTCTCCTTTTCTAGGGCAGGTCCCTGCAGACCAGAAAGCCCAACAGCAAGCCCCAACTCAGGATCAGCTAAGAGTATGAATGATTGACAAGCACTATAACACCTGCATGATCAGAATCATGCCCTCATGATATAGTTTTACCTCCGTGACATGCAAGCATTATTGTCATACATGCATGCCAAACATGACAGCAGGAACAGTCCATGGATATTTCAATTCAACCAACCTGATGCTGCATCTGCACCCACAACTTGTTCATCTCTGTGAAGTTTTGGAGCACAAATTCCACAGCATCCACAACAGTGTCTGCATCCCTAAAGGAATCAAGAAAGTCAACTACAAATCAGGCAATCTCAACAGACAACCAGCTTAAAAGGTTGAAAAGAAGAATATTTGACTCATCTACTAACCAACCAATTTGATCAGATGGTAATCAAAATCACAACAGGATTGACATGATCAATAATTCGGTTAATCAATTCAGTAACCACAATTCCAGTGAAAGGGAGTAGCATGCCAACATGAATGATAGAGGATAACATTTGAATTCTGGTCATTTTGATATGATTGTAGATTAAAAGAAAAAAATTTGGGGAAAACCTAAACTCGAAAGAAAATGTAATATCAGCTAGCCAAATCATTTTTCACCAAAAAATAGGGGGGAACACTTAATTTCTTACCCTTCATACTCAGAATCAATGTCAGGCAATTTATCCCTGCTAACTTGAGCCAGGTAACTCCTAAGAAAGAGCCCACGTACGGGATGCTGAATGCCATGACACATTTCAACAAGATCGTTAAGAACATCCTTAGAGGGAGCTTCCTTGGATTTGATATATACAGAACCTACCGTACAGAGGAGATACCTGACAGAGATCACAAGACATGTCACATTAAATACAAATTCAAAAGGTAGGTCAACCCAAGAGATTTTCATTTTGATTGTAACCTTCTTTTTGGGGACTAAATTGCTCAAGCAAGTTATTAAAATAACCATGCTACGGGAACATGCTCTCAACTCCCAAACTACAAAAAGAATAGACAATATGCTTTTCCTCTATTACTAATTGGACCCCAATATAAGTGCCAAAAAGAACCATTTCACAAACCCATAGATGAACCAAACATGGAGCACTTGCTACTAATACATATATCTAGGTTGATGAAAATTTCCCTAATTAACATAAAACTAATTTCCATACATCAACTCACAGAAAAGCTGATTTATGTCCACTACATACACTAACTGAAATGAATTACACAAGAATGTAACAGCCTGCAGCCAATTGATACACTTGCTGAAGTGAGAAAGCACACATGAAACAGTTTGAATCTAATTTCTGCTTACAATCTGGGCAATATATTGCCAGCATGCTGCACGAGCTCATACAGATTGATAATAGAGCAACCACGCTTCGTCTCCTCCTTAAAAAACATCTCCAGCTTCCTCAATTCATCAAATGCTCGCATATCTGAACCATCAACCACGAAGTCAAAAGACATAACTCATAGCGAAATTAAAATCACAGTTGAATTAATTTATGAATTTAATAGAAAATGGAAATCAGATCAGGAGAGAAGAGCTAACATAGTTCGTAGTATTTGTGAGGGGAAAGCCTTGAGAGATTTAAATTGCGGTAACGGTCACGTTTTCAGTCGCATCGCGTTTGTCACGGTTGCGGATATAATGAAAATCTTCGCGATCATTGCGGCTATTGCGATCGTGAATTTTTTTAAATTTTGCTCAACTTGCTATAAAATATAATAATTTTAATTATTAATCATAAAACCTCTTATTTTATGATTTTTAAAGTAATTTATACCATATCATGTGTTTTATTTATTTAAGAAAAAATATTTATAGTAAAATATTCATATTTAAAAAATTATTTATATGATAATTAAAAAATAAAAAGAAATAAATAAATATGTGAAAAATAAATAATCATAACGAATAATATATTTAATTATTTAATTATCGTACTCATCAAATTATTATCGAACTATATTATGCATAAATCAAATAATAAGTGAGTAGGTATTCATAAATTAAGTAAGCATTATTATTTATGAGTCAAAAGAATTGTTTTTTATGAACTTGCAATAAATCAAACTTGACAGCCTCCATGTTATAGTCGATTTTCAACAATAATAACCTCAAGTCTACTTTTCTTATCTCTTGACTAAATTGCACAGACCCACACAACTTTATATCCCTTCACCTTGCATTCAATAATTTTTTTTCTCCAAACCTTCATCCTCATCCCCATCTCTCAATTCTCTTTTTATTGGGTGTGTGTTATCTGCTTGCTTCTATAAACCTCAAGTTTCACTCTCATCTCTTATCTCTTATTTTAAGTCCCAGCAACTCTTGACTCCTTCTATCAATGTAACATAACTTAATCTAATTCCAAACACACAAAATTATGACAAATTTGAAAATTAAAAAAAAAAAGATAATCTGAGTGTTGAATTAATTGTTTACTTTAAATTGCATATACTTGATTTTGATTGAAGTTGAACTTGAGAAAATTAATTTTTTTGAAAGTTTATTTTTTTTTTTTTTTTTTTTTTTTTTTTTTTTTTTTTTTTTTTTTTTTTTTTTTTTTTGAGTTTTTTTTTTCTAGTTTAAATTTTGTGAGTTTTTTTTTCTAAATTTGTAAATTGATGTTTATTTTTTTTCTTGTTGTTTTAATTTTAAATTTTTAAACAAAATCAAATGAATTTTTTTTTTGAATTTTTGAATAAAAATAAGAATTGCGGTAATAGCAAGTAATAACGGACCGTTATTCACCGTTATACCGTAATTCACGACGACGATTTATCCGCTACAAACGGGATTCAAATTTTCCCCCGTCTTTTCTCTAATAGCGGTGGCGGATAGTAGCGCGACCGCGAAATAGCGGCCGCGACACCGCTATCCGACCGCTATTTGAATGAGGTTCGAAGCTCTGATAACATCTGAGCAGAATACTTCAAAGCATCTCTGAGGTTGTTTGAGTCCTAATAAAATCACAAATAATGAAACATCGTAAGCCAAATTTTCACTCTCTGTGCAAAATTAGGGTTTCTACGTTCAAATAAGTAACAATTTCAAAACAAGTAAAGATTTTCCTTGATTATCTCTCACTTTTCCTTCAACCAAGCAAGGCTTAACAAAGCAATGAGAAGAGAGATACCAAAGCGCGATGCATGTAGAAAGCGTTCTGTTGGAGACCGGCGATGCCAGCAGCAAGCCATTTCTCTTCGTCTTGGACCCCGTCAGCGATCATTTTCACGGTCCCTATGGTTTTTGGTCTTTCTGAATCCTAATTTGCTTTCTTTGTTTGGCTTCTTAATTGTAATCGAGGTTGCATTTTGACTTCCTCATGAACGTATCCTCAACTCCTTTTCAAGTCCATTTACGATCTGACTGATCCCGTGCTACGCAGGTATATATGTTCTTTTTTTCTCTGCACCTTTGACTTTGCTCGAAGTCGATGGTGGGACAGTAGCCTTTTACTGGTTTTCCCTTATATAAAGCATAAGCATTAATAAAGAGACAATTAAAATATTATTTTTTTAAAAAAATAATTATTACATTAATATATTATTTTCCTCGAAGAGTTAATTATGAAGTTTTCATTTCCCTTATTTTGGTGTTTATTTTCTAACATACGGTCCTAAATATCTGCTGCTCCTGCTAATTGGTATAATTCCATTTCCCGAACCATTCCGGACCCCATGGCTTTCTGCTATGAGACAAAGGACGCATTTCCATATCCAAATTAAGTATTTTCATTTACCACTTGAATCCCCATTCCCCAATGTAGCTGATCACTGAAACAATTCAGGAAAGAAAACTGCGCTATTCACAATGAGCTGACAATGAGCTGCCCAAAATCATGACCATGAACAAAGAATAATACACATATATTCTCCAATGAATTGAACATGTGATACATCAATACCCTTTTTAACTAATCTAGAAGGTAAAGAGAACAAGCCTCTGCTAATCTCAAGACATTTTTCTGTCCAGGTTGCCGCACAAAATTTATACTCATCAATTGAAGTTCAAGTCCCACCACCAAACGTACGGAGCTGAAATGCTGGTAACAAACCCTTCACACTTTCAGCGCCAAGGACAGAGTATAACACCATTCAGCACTTTGCACACAGTTTTAGAATGGTATTGTGAAAGGTAATGCATATACATCAGCCTCAGGCAAGTAGCAAGCATGTGGCCAAGTTGGTGAGTTTATTTGACTCAAGCCAAGATTTCCTTCGTTGCTGCTTTTAATCCCACTACTGAGATTCTGCTTCTTCTGAAACAGCCAGTCCTCCTCACCAAAACTGGTTCGCTCAGTCTGCAGTGTAGGCACAACCCAATCCTCCACAAGATTTTTTAATTCTAAAGCTAGTGTAGGAGAGCAACTGCTACACAAGTTTGATGGTAACGATGCTTCAGCATTGTGAGCAAGACTCTCTGATGCACCAGAAGAGGAGCAAAGTTTTTCTTTGCTAAGCTTGATAGTTAGTTCTGGGCGTCTAATACTGGCAGTAGAATAAGGATGTTCTTCCAGTTCTCTGCCTGGTCTAGGAGCATGTTCATGCATCCCTTGAACAAAGGCATCATCAATCCTTCCTGAGGTTGAGCAGGACTGTTCCTTGCTGGGTAGCACTTCAGGATCTTTATGCCTTTGAGAAGGCAACCGGATCCGGATAATGCTTCCTTCACATTAATAATAACAATTTGAATACACAATATCAGTGCCCATGTGAAGCAAATAAACCCAACAAGTATACAGCCTCCCCCAGGTAAGGAAGAGATACAAACACACTCACCAGGATTATGCCCACTGTCAGGAGGCAAACTCAGCTTCTGTCTTTTGTTGCTGTTAAGGGTGCTATCAGAAGAATTCTGGGATCCCACAGCCTGACCATGTTCTTCAGTAATTGTACTCTTCTCAAAACTGTCAGCTTCATTTTCTCTTCTCTTTTGATGGTCTCCTTTTTTATCTTCTTGGCTCCTCTCATCTTTATGCCTTTTACGACCATGCTTCTTACTTTGAATTTCTCCACTGTCCCGGGCCTTATCTCTTTCTTTCTTCTCCCGTTCTTTCTCTTTCCTATCTCTCTTTTCTTTCTTCCTTTCTTTCCTGGCCTTCTCTTCTTCTCTCTGAATCTTCAAATCACCAGAGAAACAGTCAATTTATGAACATAAAGGGGAAGTCAACACAAACAAGCAAAAGCAAAACTGCAATAAAAGAACACAAGCAGTGAACCAAACTTCAGTAACAATAAAAGAACACAAGCAATGAACCAAACTTCAGTAACAACAAATCCAATTGAAAGTTTCCCTCTTCCTATGTTACTAATAACAACTGAGTAAATAAAGATGTAAACAGTTATGTGCCGACAACAATCCTCTTTGAAAAAAACAAATCACAATCTCTTGTAGGATTCTCCATTATATAACTTGCATGATTACATATTCCATACTCCAGTACAAATTTACAAGCAGTTTTACTATAAGGTATGTTTCGTTTTCAAGCAACATTTCACTATACTTTTTCCAATATAGATAACAAAACAAAAGATTGACCAAATTCATAGCTAATGAGTTAACAAATTCAATTTTAAGCTTTAAGATAACTTCCACAATCTTTATAACTCAGAATAACTTCCATAATCTTTCTAACTCAGAAATGAATCTATCTCAATATATATACATACACACGGTTCTTGTATAGACACTGAACTAGAAAGCATCGCTTCCTCTCCAGATAAACAAGTGAAACAGTAAACAATCAGCATCATTTCGTTTCTTTAATAACTTGGGTTCAATTTCGCATACTTAAGCCTTAACGTACTAAAATAAATGGAATTGCTTGACTCTGGGATACAAAATATCACTCTCCCTCTCTTTTTTTTTTTTTTTTTTTTTTGGGGGGGGGGGGTGGGGGCCTTTTCTTTGGCAAAGATTTATTATACAAACATACGAAAAGCTATTGGGGGAAGCGAATTAGAGCAGTCGAGCAAAAGGGGTAAAAACCCAACAAAGCATTGAAGCCGATTAGGGATTTGCTCAACAAACCTTAATCGATTCAATCAGTGCCTCATCGCGGATACCGTTCTTTACGTACCCCGGTGGAGGATAAGGATAACACCGAGACATCCCTTGATTCACCAACAACCAAACAATAAGAAATGACCGAGGAAAAGAAAAAAGAAAGAGTAAACCCTAGCTCGAATAAGATCGCAATCGGATTAAAAAAACTGTAGCTAGGGTTTAAAAACTTAGGTGATTTAAGTGAAGATCCTCAATTTGTCCCGCCAAAAAAGAAAATTTGTTTTTGATTTGAAAAATAAATAAGAGGGGCGATTGTTTGATTAGGGTTTGAAGAAAGGAGACGCTCTAGATCCACGTACAGAGACTTTGGATCCAAAAAACTCGTTTGAGACTAAAGCCAAGAGGGCTATTTATAGAGGATTTGATCCCTTTTAGAGGGTTACAAGTGAAACGAAGGCGTTTCGGGTACAGTGAGGGTCACGGGCCGATCTCGTCAATGGAGGATTTTATCCATTTCGGCCCAGATTCAATAAATGGGCTGGGTTGAGTATTAGTAAAAAAACAATCTGGACGGCATTCAAAGCCCCAATTTAGATTTTGAAACAAAACAAGGATGCATTATAGGTTCGAGGTATATAGACCGGCAAACCCGAAACAAGTGCATCAACGAGACTTGCTAATTCAATAATGTTGAAATCGATTATAATATCAAAGATCTCGAGTTTGAAAAAAAAAACTAAATAAGAATCTAAAATTACAAGGAAAAAAACTGTTCTTGAAACTTATCGAGTACAAGAAATTCAAAAGAGAAAAAGAGTTTATATCTAATGTGTTTTAGATTATAATTTTGTAGATATAATTTTATATTATCAAATCATAGCAACTTGTGATTTCAATAAAATTACTAAAAATATTTTGGTAAAATAACGAGTTGTTTGATAGTGGTAGTAGTTGCATTTCTTATTTAATTTCCCTATTCATATTAGAATCTTAAAATCCTTTTTCATGTGTTGGATCAGTGATTTGAATCTCAGAGGAAATCTCATACATATATTCATAAAGTCTAATGCATAAAGGAGCTGGGAACTTGTTGAAATTTTCATGTGCTTTAATAAATTTTAAGGGGAATTTTTTGTGAAGCCTACATATCTGCTAAATTCTAAAAGCTAAACATAATTTTCAAACAAGATTGCACAGTTGGGAGTTGATGTTACTGCCAAATAAAGATGCAAATTGATTCATACACTGGGAGTATTACAGAGTGGTAGTACTTAATTTTCCCCAACATGTGACATGTGGTTGATTGGATTTTAATGGTGTGGTGCTGCTGTAACATTGGATTTCCCCAAAATATTTTGTACAGAAATTTATATTCACAGCAGGATAAGGTTTTCTTTATTCATTTTCAATGTCAAACTCCAGCTAAATAACATATCATTTCTTGTCATTTAAGATTCGAAGTGTTCTTCAAATTAGTGAAAATCCCAGGTTTAAACTAAGCAAATTAGCAACAAATTAAAATATGAACTGTTTAGTTATATGATTGAATTGATGGATCATTTGAGTGATTTATTTTGCCACTTTAATTCACCCATCACAATCATGGCCTCAAAGTTAGATATTTGCCAATACTAGATTTGATTTGTTTTGGATGGAATTTCTTGTTTTTGTCTCATAAAAGTGATCTAGTCCAACTCAAGTTTGTTGAGTGGTCCAATTTTATTTATAATTATGAGTATTCACAAATTTCAATTATGATATAATAATCAATAAAATTGATTCAATTTCAGATCAAAACAAGGCCTACATCATCTATAGGAAAATAATTTCTGGCCAACTTATCTCCTACTATATATATAATGAAGGAACAACAAGGGCTGCTGCTCCTGCTCCTAACTCCTTTTATTTTTCATTTTTTAATCCTTTTCAGTCTGTAGATCTTCAGTTTTAGTTTGCTATTTTGACAGTTACATCAGGCTCCATTCAAGATAACAAAACCTTTTTCTTTCTCTTCTTCACATTTTTTTACCTTGATGGTTTGGAAGAGGGAGTGACTTAAATTTGAGACACTCACTCTTTGTCAGAGAAGATGATAGTCTCATGCCTATATGTAAACGAAAACTCCAGGTCCAGGGCAAGAAAGCTGAGAATTTTTAGCATTTTGAGGTAAAAAAGATAACTGCAAACTTACTGCTGCCTACACGTCCGAAGCTAATTAAAACATCCTTTTTTGAGATTAGTTGGGGGTTGAATCAATGTTTCCAAATTAATATTGGCCAGTCCTGTTCTTCACCAATGCAACAAGCAGGCGGAAGTGGGTGCTGATATCTAACTAATGAATCAACTATATGGAAATCAGTAAATTACGATAATAAAACTTCAAGTTAGTGATTGGTTGGTTACTGCTCAAATTAGCATCAACGGGACATGATTTCAGCATGTGATCATGACAATTGCTATCAGCAACAAATTTCAGTACCGATCCAACTTCACATGTTCAATGTCATTCAAAATTTGCTCAATAGTCATTTATCCAAAAGAAAAATTGATTTGGATCTAAGCTTTCACGCTGAATTTTTATCATAAATGATAAAGCATTATTATTTACACCTACCTTGATAACATATGAGCAAGCTCAGAAATGGCTGCCACATTGACAAATTTAATTACTATAACTCCTTAGGATGTGGTAACACCATATCTCTTGCTTTCCCCTATAAATTTAGAAGAGGGCCTATGTGTGATAACGAAAACAAGCTCTATGAAAAAAGATGATCTTTCTCTCTCAGTCTCAGGCACCATCTTCCATTGCTTCTTTTTATAGGACCATTATCTTTTCTGTTTTTGTAGCTTTATACTGTCAAGAGAATAATGAAGCTGCCCTGATCTTGCCTAACAATGAAACTGTTCCAGCAATTTTTGTGTTCGGAGATTCCATAGTGGATCCAGGGAACAACAACAATCTCAAGACTATAGCCAAGGGCAATTTCCTCCCATACGGGAGGGATTTCAAGGCAGGACCTACCGGAAGGTTTTCCAATGGCAAGGTTCCATCCGACATTATAGGTAAGTGTAGCCAATCCACCCTTTTGTCCCTTGCGAAATATTATGCCATTATTAATTGCATTTGTCTGCGCTGGTCTGCAAAATGAAATTCACTTACATATACATTGTTAGTGATTTCAATCAAAATCATTTTCAGCTGAAGAATTTGGTGTAAAGGAGCTGGTGCCTGCTTTCCTTGATCCAAACCTGAGCTCCAAGACCTCCTCACTGGTGTAAGTTTCGCCTCAGGGGCTGCAGGATATGATCCTATCACAGCTCAACTAGCGGTATATATATGTGACATACATCTCCTTCTCTTCTTTTTCTATTTTCTTGAATTTATCACAGTACTGTCAGACTAATTAAATCTCATCTTTTTCTGATTATTAATTTATCAGAATGTTTTATCACTGTCGGATCAGCTAGAAATGTTCAAGGAATACATAACGAAGATAACGTCAGCAGTGGGAGCAGAGAAAGCTGCAACTATAATTTCTAAAGGCATATATATATTGTTCTGTGGTAGCAACGATATTGCCAATACCTACTTTGGTACTCCAGTCAGGAGAACCCATTATGATATTAATTCCTATTCAGACTTCACTGCCAGCTATGCTTCGAAATTCTTGCAGGTATATAAACATACCTTAACTATAATCAACAAGGGTCGGCTCACTCAATCAACAAGTTAATTCACTTGGCGATAAGGGATTTTGAGTTCGAATTTTACCCATAATTCCTGGTTAGATTACTCTCAAATGTAGGATTTCTATGATACGAGACATCTTTTCTTGATCTATAAGACTAAACATCCTATCTATCACATATTTTTATGTACCAAAAAAAAGTTTATTATATTTCAACGTATCCTAGCCAGCTATTAGTATCTGGCTGGCTAAACTCGTAAATCTGGCAGGAGCTACATGGACTAGGAGCAAGAAGAATCGGTGTTCGGTGTGCCACCAATAGGGTGTGTGCCATCTCAGAGAACCATGGGTGGAGGCAAAAACAGGGATTGTTACGAGGATGAAAACGAATTAGCATCGCTCTACAACGCCAAGCTCTCTTCCGTTATAGATTCTCTGAAGACGGTCTTGACATCTCCAGGCACAAGGCTTATCTTTCTCGACATCTACTACCCACTGCTCTCCCTCATCCAAAACCCTGCAAAATATGGTAAAACTGATCTCATCTCATCTCATCCAAACATTAGTTACCAAGTTTACTATAACAAATTAGCAATGCAGTGCATTAAATATTTGCTTGATTCAGGGTTTGAAGTGACAATGAAAGGATGTTGTGGCACGGGACTTATGGAAGCGAGCATATTCTGTAATCCTCTATGCATCCCTACGACATGCAAAGATGCCTCAAAATACGTTTTCTGGGATGGCTACCATCCTTCCGAGAAGGCTTACAAGATACTTACACCAGATATAGTCAATAGGCACTTCAATGAATTTTTCTAACTTCAATGCAGTAATAGAGTAGAGGAAAATTTGGAACTTATAACTTTTAATACTCTTCAAGAAGAGTAAAATATAGCTGTTTTTGTATTCTAACTTTTGTTACCTTCTTTCTTGTAATAAAAGAATAAAAGACAAACATCACATGCAACAACTAATAAAATAAGAAGGAGTTTATTAGCTATAATTGTAATGGAAAATATGAGAAACTGATAGTGTTAGGAAAGTGTAATTGTATTTATTATTTCATTAAATTAGAAAATTGAGTTGATGTGATATTCAACCACTTAAATTAGAGATACCACCTGTCAACAGCAGTAACCATATCCTCCCAACCAAAGCCGCATCATTCGGTTAAACTACTAATTGTACTTCTTCGACAGCATTCAATTTCTATGATCGAAAATAAAAGCTCTGATGCTTTGCTTGTGCCTTACCAGATTGATTGCTTAACGAAAAGTAACAACTGCGATTGAAAGAAGAAGATTTGGGACAGTTTGGACCCAACCATACTCATTACTCTTTGATTGTCGCCCTATTATTTCTCTCAGACATGAGGTTTGCTTTCTGAATTTGAGCTACCTCAGCAAAGTCCATGTTTGGTGCCCTGATGACAGGTTCAACTTCATTCCAGGTGAACTATTATCTCTCCTTCGCTTGAAGGCCTGAAATTATGCTTTTAGGTCACTTCACTATATCGACTGTACTTTCAAACAAATATATAAGAAAAAGATATACAAACAACCAGTCCAGGACCTGTTATGGTAAAATCCCACATTCATCATCTAGGCAAAATTGCATGCTTGATTCTCTCTAATCTAACTACAATCTCCAATAGGAATGGATAATAAACTATATATAGAGAAAGCCAGTGTATGAGATAAACATTGGGAAGACTTCAATGAAGCTTATTCTGAGCAACAGCCTGATATAACTTATTGGAAGCCAAAGATTTGCATAATGGCTTTGGGAGAACAGATGGCACCATACATCTCGATGGGAGTCCTGAATCGTGAAAGAGCACTGCAGCAATTTGCCTCAACTCAGTGACTTTAACACGGGAAGGTGGACGTGGACCATGCCTAGGAGCTTTTACAGTGTGTGGGCTTCCCACCAAAATACCTTTGCCATCACCCTTGCTGGAAACAACATCCAAAACATGGTAAACAACATGACAAATTTTTATTCCAATTTTTACAGAATCTTGAACAGACCTGATGGTAACCCAATTCGTTTCCTACGGTTTTGATTTAACCCGACATCATAGGATTGAATTTTTTTTTTTTTTTTGGGTTGGACCATGTAATAGTGACAAAAAAATTAGGATCGAATTTTAGGTATCGTTCTACATATATATATATAATTATTTTTTAAATTATTTATTTAGTTAATTTTATATTTATATTAAAAATAATATTTTATTAATTTTAATTAAATCAAATCGAATATAATTTTATACAATATTAATCAAGTCAAATTCGAATATATAAAATAAAAAAAAAACTTATTGGATCGAATTCATAAAAAACAAATATCTATCCTTATTGTTATTTCTAGGCAAACCTCGTAAAGCTTTTGAAATTTAATTGTTTTTTAATTTTTTGTTATTATTTTAAATAAAATTATATATATAATTATTATTTTTATTATAAAAAATATAATATATATATATAAATTAATAAAAATATATAATCTAATTCATGTTTTCAATTTTTTATCTTTTCATCCAAAAATAAAACCAAATTAAAATATAAAATATCTAAACTTGCTCTTATCTTTTTATCCGATAAAAACAATTCGAATTTGGCCACATCAGATTATTCATGGCATTTCTTCAATTGTTCCGATGAATCAAAGATTGCGAAAGACAACAAAAGCTATAAATTCAGTGATAGCCCCAAAATAAATGGAATCACGTTCACAGCACGAAAAAAGGGTCCAAACTTTTAGCCAGCCAAAAACAAAACGAAACGAAACGCTTTTGCCATCAAAAGGAAGGATTGGGAAAGTGGTTTCCCATCGTAGTTGGCACAACCTGTAATATTGATTCATTTCCAACTTCATCATTTTTATACTGTTTTTTCGAGCCCTAAACGAGAATATACTATTTTTTTTTCTACTGAACAAAATCTTTTCACAACCTTTTGCCCTTTATCTGACTAAAAAGAAAAAAAAAAAAAATGCAGATTCCAATGGACCCACTTCACATATGTAATTAGATTACTGTCGCTCCCCACTAAAGCACATGGACAGCATCAAATAATTGTAGCAATGCATATAAAGGGTTTGTTTCGCGCTATATTTTTTCTAATAAAGAAAAGTTCGTTTTGCAAGTTGTCAGGAGGGAGAAAAAATTTGAGAAAATTAAAATTAATTTAAAATTATACTATTTGATTTAGTTAGATTAATTTTTTATTTAATTTAATTTTAATTTAAATATTAAATATATATTAAGTTATGATTAAATTTTGATTGGAATATAAAAAATAAAAAAATTAAATTAAATCGAATTATATATTTTTATTAGTTTTTATATATTTTTTAAATTTTATAAAACAAAAAATTTGTTTAAATTTATTAAAAATATTAATAAAATAAAAAATTAAATTTAAAAATTGATAAATTAAATTAGAATAAATCAATAAAATTCAATTCAAATTATACCAATTTAAAAAAATCAATTCAAATTCAAATTAAAATTTAAAAATTAATAATATTATATATTATTTAAAAAATTAAATTATATTCGATTTAATCCAAAATATTACTATTTCTAATTCTTAAAATGTAAAAACGACGAATGTTAAACTACTGTATAGGCAGTTGTTCTATCAAGTGTTAGCTGCACCTGCCATTTATTTTCCTTTCCTAATGATGATTATGCATATTTTAAGCTTTCTGACATCCCATAGTGTTCTTTTTTAATCGTCTTTGTTTTTTATAAAGTATATAATTCAATGTGGTTGATATAATGGTGGACTTGTGTTTTCGATTTACACATGGTGGCAATGTCCTGTTAGCATTTTTCTTGCACAAAAAAAAAAAAATGAAAAGGTGAATATAACCATTCCAACATATAGTCAATTAGTTCATGATTTATGCGTCTAGGGTGAGAATGTGATTGTCACATGGGTAATAAGACAGAGAGCGACTAACACAGGAACGACGGGAAAAAACGAGGAGAGGAGAGAGGACACGTGTAATGGAAGGCATGTGAGGCACTGTCACCGTGGTCGTACCATTAATGGGTCCACATCACAGGGCAGTTGCCGGAAAGAATTAATGTTTAGTTAGCCTTCACTCATTCCTCTCCCCGCCGTATAAAGGATATATTAATATTTATAAATTATTTAAATTCGATTCATACGAGATTTATATTTAAATTTAAAATAATTTAAATTTTAATAATTAATTTAATTAATTCATGAATTTAATTAAAATTTTAAAATTTAATATTATTTATTATTTAATTAAAAATTAATATTTTATTTATATATATTAATTTGAATTCAAATTCAAATTGAATTATATAATTAAGTTTTAAATCAAAAATTTTTTAAATTAAATAAATTTAATTGAATAAATTTAAATAATTTTATTTTTATCTCAAATTTAAATTTAAAAATTAAAATTTAATTAAATTTAAATCAAATTTAAAAAAAAAAAATTCAAATTAAAATTTTTATTACATCGACTCGATTAAATTCGGAGTACACCCTCACCAAAACCATCATTGACCTTAAATATTACTATTACTATAATTGCTTTAGCTTAACCTAACCCTAGGAAAAGACGGCTACTGCTACTACTATTCTCTACTGCTACCAACTTGTTTGTACCTGATGAACCAAAATAGTATTAAAACTACACAATCACTTAAGAAGTTTAAAAAAATGGGTTAGTTTTAAAATAAAATTTTGAATCACTTCAATAAAAATAAAAAAGTTTAATTTTAGGATCTGATTTATCGGTGCTTAAATCAAGCCTCCATTGATGTTACCATAAACTTTTTTTTAAAAGTAACATTTTCTTATCAATTTCGAAATTTGTAAAAGCAGACTTGCAAGCCAAGCAAGGGCACCACCATGCCCAGGTTGATGGAACGTTATTATAAATCATGTTTTAACTTTCAATCAAAGTTTGTTTTATTTTGTTTACCATCAAAATTGCATTTATTAGGGGAAAATTGTGTCTTAATTATGGTAGGAGGGCTATTATTTACGGGACATGTGTACAGGTGACCCCAAAGCTTCCTTTGATGCCAGCTGGATCACTCTACCTTTTAAGTCAACCCCGAAATCATTACTGTGCCGTTACCCTCCGTGAAAATCGCTGGCATTTTCGTAAATAAAAAAAGAAAGGAGGACATTTGCGTAGTTCAAATTTACCACCACCACAAAGGCACAAGCTCATCGCTTGTCTGGCATGGCCGTGAACAAACAACACTGAAACTGTGACCGATAAAAGATGGAGAGAGAAACAACTTTCTTTTTTCCGCTGCCTGTTATTTCCAGAATTCAATGCTCTTCTTCTCTTAAACTCTGACGCTTTTTTTTCTTGAAGGTAGTAAACAAGAAAAATAGAAAAAGAATCAATTCAGCATAAAAGCAAGGGAAATTTCCTGATGAGTAGGTGAGCTTATCGCTACTATTCACTTTGTATTCCTTTTTTTTTTTTTCTCTGTAATTTTGTGTTTGGCCTCCGAGAAAAGGTCATAAGTTTAATGACGGTTCACAAAAGGAGCTCATCCGGAGATTCTGTCGAATAAATTTCATTTATATTTTAACTTTCTTTTTTTTTTCTTCTTTGGCTGTGCCTGTCTTTTTTTTTTTTTTTTTCATTTTGAAGAGTTGAATCACTACGCTTGTTTTTTTTTTTTTAATTTCTTTTGACACGACAAAGTGAACGAAGAAGCGTGACAGATAATCTTCTAGAGTGAGTATGCAATTTTCTGGATAGATCCTGGGAAGCAGCTTTCGATCCAGCTTGAAACCGTTGGTTTATTTCTTCTCAAATTTTGGCTACCTATGACGATTCTTTAAGGAAATCAGCTCTAGCTTTTTTTGAGCAATGCAAGTAGAGAAGCCTAATGGAAACATCAAAGTTCCTGTTTTAGTGAACCTTCTAGCTTAGAAAGAGGTGAAAACGAGCAAAAATCTGTCAAATTACTGTTCATTAAGTTCAATTTTGGCTATGGAAAGATATAATTCCGTCAAATTGTTTGAGAAATGTATTAAAAATGGATTATGGAGTAATCTAATGGAAGTTTATTTAGAAAACATGTTTCAGGTTTGATTGAGAGGAAAGGATGGCATCTTCGTGGGAACATATTGGAGAAATTGCAAATGTAGCCCAGCTCGTGGGCTTTGATGCGGTGCGGTTAATAGCTATGATAGTTAAAGCTGCAAACACAGCGCGAATGCATAAGAAGAATTGCAGGCAATTCGCACAGCATCTCAAGTTGATTGGTAACTTGCTGGAGCAGCTCAAGATCTCGGAGCTTAAGAGGTATCCTGAGACACGGGAGCCATTGGAGCAGCTTGAGGATGCATTAAGGAGGGCTTACATTTTGGTCAATAGTTGTCATGATAGGAGCTATCTGTATCTTCTGGCCATGGGATGGAACATTGTCTATCAGTTTAGGAAAGCTCAGAATGAAATCGACCGATATTTGAAGATTGTTCCTCTTATTACTCTGGTGGATAATGCTCGAGTGAGGGTATTGACTATTCTTGTTGCTGTTTTAATATTTTTTTCCCTTAGTTTTGTTTTTCCTCTTTTGTATGATTCTAAAAAAAAACTTTTAAAATGATATTTGGGAATGGGTACTTGAAAAATGAAGATGGTGAGCTTTAGAAATGGTTGTCATCTGTTTGGTTGTGTAAAAAAATAGTTGCTCTAATCATTGTTAAGTGTCTTCCAATGCGATTTCTTTCTTTGGCTATTATAAAGAAGGATTGTTTTTCATTCCTTACTACATTAACCAACCATTGAAGAACTGCTAACTTAGAGTTTAATCTCTAACTGTTAACTCTTAATGCTATTAATGATAAAAATTATAGGCATATGAATGCCATTTTGATCCTGACATGCTAGGCAACAGGCATGAACATGAGTGCTTTTGTGCATCTTTATATGTTATTCTTCAGAAAAAATTAATGTCATGTGCAAGTTATAGCACAAACAATGGCTTGATGAACATCAATAAAGTGCAACGACTTGTGAGTATTTGTCACATTTATTTGAATCTTTTAACTTCGCAGAGTGGGGGATCTCATTGCAGTTGGCTTAAGACAATGTTGGGAAAGAGGAGTAGATTTTGCTCAATTCTTTTTTTGTTTTCTGAAGGTTAAAACGTGGAGGATTCTTTATGTTTTGTACATTAGCATGGGAGTGGGGAAGGGAAGGGAAGGGAAGGCGGTTGTGAGTAGAAAAATAAGGGAAGGAAACATATACATATATATATATATATATTCAGCCTGTCTGGTTGATGGAGGTGGAAAGGCAAAAGCAGAAATGGACAAACTTCATAGCTTCAGTCATAGAGATATGTTCTTTTCTTTGGTATTTAAGGTTTTGGAAGGGTTGGTTCCTTCCTATTAATGCTTTTCTAGTTAATGAAGGTTACTTCAACCACTTTATCTTCTATCTTCCCCTGTATTATATGGAAATCTAAGTCATTCAGGCCTATCTGCTTCTTGATAGATGAATTCCTTGACCAAAATAGTTTGTATAAGGCCTCTTATTTTTTATTTGCTGATATCATCAAAGATGATAGGGATCAGGTCTTTACTGTCAAAAAAGTGTGAATTATAGAAAACTTGGGCTGCAAAGAATAGATTAACAGAGTATAGGATTTTTTGTTTGGGAAGAATGGCATATGTTGCTTTCTCATAGAAACTTGTGGGCTGCAATATCATTGGAAAAATAAAAAATCAATGGGATAATTGAAGTGACAAAAATCTCTTGTGGTTGGATTGATTTTCATATCTTTAGCTTTACCTGCTTTACTAATTTTTCAGTTCTCACTAACTTGCAGGAGAGACTAGAAGTTATTGAGAAAGATCAGCATGAGTACACATTGGATGAAGAGGACAGAAGGGTGCAAGATGTTATACTGAAACCAGAACCCTCCAAAAATGATGCCATGCTTTTGAAAAAAACTCTTTCTTGCTCATATCCTAACTTGTGTTTTAATGAAGCACTGCAAAAGGAAAATGAAAAGCTTCAAATGGAACTCCAACGATCACAAGCAAATTATGATGTGCAGCAGTGTGAAGTAATCCAACATTTGCTTGATGTAACAGAAGTTGCTGCTGCAACTTCTGTTCCAGATGAGACTTCATCCATGAAAGGGTCTAAGAAAGTTGAGCGTAATTACTCAGATGCCAATAGTGAGAACGGTCATTCATATGATGAAAGCTCTCCTAAGAAGCCTGATTCTTGCACAACTTCAAGGTTAGTTCTTTTTTTTTTTTTTTTCGCATCATCAAAGTGCAATAATAGATCTATTTAAAAAACTTTCTCATGTAACAACATCCCCAGTAACCTTTGCCTTTTTTGCCATTTGCCTTTGGCCTCATGCCTTATAAAAGTTTAAAGCTGCTGTAGACATAATAAGACAGTACATATCGATTTTTACTTGCTAATGTGATTCAAAATGATAATTAATTTGCCTTTTAATTTCTTGTGATAAAGTTAAAACTTGGGTGATAAGGCTAAATTCGATGCCCTGCCATTTACTAGAAATTATTTGAGTTTCAGTTTCTTTACAGTCAGTTTTGGTGTCTTAAGTCCTTAAGCTTCTGAATATGCACTCACAGTTTACACATTTCATCTACTCGGAGCTGAGTTTGGTTTCTAAAAGTTTTATGCCATACATTTTTGCTCAGAAACACATCTTCAGTTTCATCAGGTCATGATCTGCTGTCTGATAGAGGTTCGTATCGGTATGAAGAGTGGCATGCTGATCTACTTGGTTGTTGTTCAGAACCATATCTGTGTATGTCCTTTTTATGTCATTACTGCCCCATTATTGTATTAAATGTCTGCCCTCTGTTCTATTTGAATTGATAGAAGTCACAACTTATAACTTGAGATTGTTTAGCTACAAGAAAGGGATGGTAACCTTTTTTTTTTTTTAAATTGATTTTTGATTCTTTTCCTTCTCTGGAGACAAGAGGAACACAATCTTTAGTAAGATTTCTAGGACAGATATATCTGGCAGAACTCACCTTCCTGTATTTTGCTGTTGTTCATCTGGTCTCCTAAGCCACCTTTTCTCATTGCAGGCATAAAGACATTTTTCTTTCCTTGTGGTACATTTTCAAAGATTGCTACTGTGGCAACAAACAGGCACATGTGTAAGTATTTCTGAATTATATTTTAATTTCTAGTTAGGTATATTTTGATTACTTAATAACTTCATTTTAGTTTGGGTAATTGATCTTCATTTTTGTTGATTCCTTTATTTTCATTTGTGCAAGAATTTGATGTTTCGATTTCTAAGTATTTCTGAATTATATTTTAATTTCTAGTTAGGTATATTTTGATTACTTAATAACTTCATTTTAGTTTGGGTAATTGATCTTCATTTTTGTTGATTCCTTTATTTTCATTTGTGCAAGAATTTGATGTTTCGATTTCTAACTTACCCTTGATGTATAAGGATTATGTATTTTTAGTCAAATGTGTATGTGTGATTCTAAATTGCTTAGCCCACATGCATAAGTGATTGCAAGAATTCAGCTTTCCTTAGGAAAGGAAACTATCGTCTCCCTTGTAGGTTTGCTACAGAAAAGTGTTATATCAACTGCAACACCTTTGAAATTCTATTTCCGGTTTTGGTATTGTTTCGAAGCTTACACAACAACTTTCTTCAGCTTCTGCAGAAGCATGCAATGAATTGATGGCGTATTCATTGATATTATCATGCTGTTGCTACACTTGCTGTATTAGAAGGAAGCTTCGCAAGGCTTTGAACATTACGGTATTTTCTCTGCCATTGAAAGAGTAATCTGCTTGTGCAAAATATGAAATCCTGAATCATAAGCTTTCTGCTATTTTTCTTTGCCATGAAAGACTATGGTATAGATGCAGTTACCTTGGCCTAATTTGTTATAGATCCCTGAGTATACCATAGGTGGTGCTCTACTAATCATAGCCATCATGCGTATGTGGCGTTGAGCTGTCTGAACATGATTAGCATACCCAGTTGTATCCATAAATCCATATGACAAAAGCATGCTAACATCAGATGATCCTCGGTCATTAGTCTATCATCTAGGCTTGTTCTTGGCTTCATACAAACCTCTGTTTGATTCACTGATAATTGCTTCCTGCAACCTTCTTTTTTCTCAACAGTAAGCATAGTCTTGGATATAACGTCAACAATTAGTTGTTCACAGAAAGCTTTGATCTTACTTTGAATTCAGTTTCCTTAAAATGCTACTCTTTTGTTCCTTTGGCAGGGTGGATTTATTGATGATTTCCTCTCACATTTGATGTGCTGCTGTTGTGCCCTTGTTCAAGAATGGCGAGAAGTAGAGATGCGTGGGGTTTATGGCATGTCTTATTCTTATAGAAATCTCAATTTTCTTCTAATTACTCAAAAATTTTTTTAATTATTATTATTACTATTATTTTTTTTGTATTCCGGTGATATTTGTGGTCTTGTTTGTTCACGTGGTAATCTTGGGAATTCATAAGTTGCAGGTGCAGAGAAGACCAAAACAAGCCCTCCACCATCACAATTTATGGAATCATGAGCGACAGGACTGAAAGGCTTATTTTATTATGATGGCTGTATGGTTTTCATATAGCAGAATGTAGAAAGTAACCTCTACTTGCTACTATCAAAGTGAAACTGTAACTGCGACTGCTTCTCCATGCATTGGAGTCTGTCATGTCTACATAATGTAAATTAGTCCAATTATTTTAGGAGATTCCGCATATGTTGTATCATACTCTAATTTTCAACACTATGGTGGTTTTGGATCCATGTCTTTTCAGATTTAATCAAAGAACTACTACTGCCGAACTGCTAACTACGCACTTCAACAGGAATCAAAATCTCTTTTTTTTTTTTTATTTTATCTTTTTCCAACGATCATAATAGCTTATTTTCTATAATTAATTATAATAACATATTTTATTACATAACATGGCATTGTCGATTAGGTTTAGCCTTCTCAGTTGGTTTCTAATGAAGTCCTTTCCTTTCTCCTAGTTTAGTTGGCCTTGGCCACAGCAACAAATCCTTTTTAAAGTTTACCTTTCCCATAGCATCCTACACGTGTCTATACTTTTTTGGTATCACGTAGCGCCACGTCTATGATTCGCACCGTTCGATAAAGAAACCGAACCTACCCCAGAACCACCCACCCCCCTCCACATAAAGAAGGGGATTAAGGATTCTGATTAAATTTGTTTTTCCTCAAGAAAAGGTACCTGATTTCTTAATAAAAGAAAAAGAAAAACTGATTAGGTTTTATTGTTTTGAAAAATCGGTTGCAAAAACGATGTCGTCTTCTGGGAGAAAGATTACTCTGAAGAGCTCCGACGGCGAATCATTCGAGGTGGATGAAGCGGTAGCGTTGGAATCGGAGACGATAAAGCACATAATCGAGGAAGATTGCGCCGATACCGGAATACCGTTACCAAATGTTACGAGTAAGATCCTGGCGAAGGTGATCGAGTACTGCAAAAAGCACGTGGAGACTCCTAAGACCGACGATCGAGCCGCCGATGATGAGGTTAAAAGTTGGGACGCTGAATTTGTCAAGGTCGATCAAGCCACTCTCTTCGATCTCATTCTGGTATCTCTCTCTCTCTCTCTCTCTCTCTCTCTCTCTCTCCTCTCTTTTTCTCTTTTCTAGGTGCTTCAATTATTTGTTAACGTTTATTAGTGTCAAGGCTAGGGCTTTGGAGTTGGGGTTAGAAAAAAAAAAAAAACAACAAGAATTTTGAGTTGATTTGGGCATAATAGCATAATTGTAATGAAAAGGTTTTCGTATGATTGGGCATCTTTTCCTATGTTTCAAATTGTTTGCTTTTGGTGATTTGTTGGTGTTTTGATTTCGGAGGCTGATGAATTCGATTGCACTTCGGTGTATATCAATCGTGTAACGAGTTATAGACTTTTTTTAAATTCGAAGAAATTAAACCATTGTCACGTATCTTATATTACTAAGGAAACGGACAAAGAAGCTGTGCTACTTCTTGTATGCAGAACTAAAACCTTTTAGTATGATTGTGATGTTTTTGTTTGATTCCCTCATCGTTTAATGATGGAAGTGTAATCTTGTTTTCATTAGATGAAGAAGTTTGATTCTTTTGGAATGCCTTGTGTAGAAATAAGCAGCATACATATATTAGAAGCATGAGCATCAATACTTCAACATAACTGCGCTTGAGATAGTGCAAATATATATATATATATATATATATATAGTAGAAGAAATTTAAGGGTAGATAAGTTGCTTAGTTCACCAAGGGCAAGATGTGCCGTACACAACAGTCTAAAAACAGTGGCCAGAGGTTATATATTTGAGATGATCCCAACAAGAGGTCATAGCTGAACTCAAATCCAAGACCTTTACGTCAAGGTGAATGATCCTTGCCAATTAAGCCAACCCCTTGTTGGTGTGCATATATATTTGCAATTTGCATTGAGAACCATAAGACTATAACTAATTGCCTCTATTACATCGCTGTGTGAGAACCATAGGACTATGACTAATTGCCCTCTTATTTCATAAGGATTTGTTGATAAAATTCGAAAACTAAGTCTTGTTTTGTGATATTGCCATATGTTTTTGCAGGCAGCAAACTATTTGAATATCAAGGGCTTGCTGGATCTTACTTGTCAAACCGTTGCTGACATGATCAAGGGAAGGACCCCAGAAGAGATCAGGAAGACTTTTAACATCAAGAATGACTTCACCCCTGAGGAGGAGGAAGAGGTTCGTAGGGAGAATCAGTGGGCATTTGAATGAAGTATATTGGCCTATTTGGGTGCTGTGAAATGGTTTTAACTTGTATATTAGATGTCTACTTAATTGCTCTGACTTTTCATCTTTCTTTGGATTTTGTCAGCTATTTTAAGGGACTTCTATATTCGTGCATGTCCATGCAATTTCACCAAACCAGTCTGTTGTATCAACTAATTTTCTGTACATCCTGTTCCCTTAATCGTGGTTCTTGAGGTGAACGGGCCTCCTTTTGCTCACTTGTATAGAGAAGCTGTTTATCTCTGTAAAGAGTTAGAAATGAGTCCGTATCAATGGCAAATCAATTAATCAGATAAACCCCTTTTTGTAACAAAATAAAAATCCATAGCAAAAAATGGCAGTACCGGAGGACGTTCAGAACCAGTAGTAAACTAACTTTATACGTGAGCCGGTTCAGCAATCTTAGCCTTTGCTCGCCTCTCCCGCCCAGTAGTGTTTTCCTACTTTTGAAGTGTACATACAAGATTACACCCTGGAGCTCTATCCTCCTTTCCTTCAGTATCTGGCAACATCCTGCCACAGCATGGACATTTAATCATCTTTCACAAAATAAATCAAAACCAGAAATTAACTGATTTAGTAAAAAGTACAGGGAATTTTCATTTTTTGTACATTCACGTGGTAGTGATTTAATCTATTGGAAACTATGCATAAAATATAAAATAAAGGCCATCTGTAACACTCTTAGTGTCATGAGCCAACCTTGTATAAGGTCATGATCGGGACTTAGGTTGCCATGAGTCACTCATGTATAGGGTCATGGTCGGGTAGACCCCTTGTGTTAGGAAAAGTGTCTCCATTTCAAACATTGTAACGGTTACTGGTAGCATAGCTCTAAAATCTCTAAGCTCTTTAAGGGGGGTGAGCCGACAGGGTATTGTTGGGCTGTCTCACCGGGTGCTATGCGAGCTTAAGCCACCCACCATGGGCTGCCCCCCTGGCCCTGGTGATGGTGGGAGGTCCCGATGTATGATTCCCGATTTTAATGAAATTCACCTCGATTGAATGCCCGATTGTTGCCTCGATGTGTTTCTTTTCTTTCTCGATGTGAATGTGCCTTGTTGTGTGTATGCTGAGATTGACCTTGATATATTGTGCCTTATTGTGAATGCTTGAGACTAACCATGGTTTATGGTTATTTGTTCAGATCTTGATCTATTGAAGGCTGACTTGGGTGGAAGCGTCCATTCAAGTGTCACGCGGGCTAGTGCTTGTTGAGAGAAAGCTTAGTCTGTGACACGTGGTATCAGAGCACGTGAGAAGTGCTAGAGAAATGGATGAGATGGCCACAAGTGGTGGACCGGATCATCAGCAGAGAATTGAGGAACTTGAGGCCGCGGTGACCGCAATGAAAACTCATATGGTGACAAAAGAATCGAGTGAGGGAGATCGAGACACCCAGCGGAGTTGTCTGATACTTTCCCACAATGTGAGCGAAGAGGCTAGAGATGCCTGAACATCTCCAAAAAGAGTTGAAGGAGCTCAGGGCCCAGATGAGCATCCTACATAATGGCGGTGGCCAGTTCGGGTTCGGAGCTCGATTGGAATAGGGGACAAGGCCCAAAGTGCCGGAAGTCCTCCGGTGCTATGAGTTGGCAAGGGATGCTAAAGAACTGAGAATTTCCTGTTTGACATGGAACAATACTTCCGAGCTGTACACACAAGGTTCAGAGGAAGACAAGGTGACAATGGCATCGATGTACCTCGCAGGGGATGCCAAGTTGTGGTGGCGCTCTAAGTTTGTCGATGATGAGTGCCCGATTAAGACTTAGACGGATCTGAAGCGAGAACTGAAAAACCAGTTTTTTTCGGAGAATGTGGATTATATGGCTCGAAAGAGACTTCGAGAATTGGTGTAAACCGGAACGGTGCGAGAGTTCGTGAGAAACTTTTCTACCCTGATGCTGGATATTCGGGACATGTCGGAAAGGACAAGTTATTCCATTTTATTGAGGGCCTCAAGCCGTGGGCGAGGACAGAGCTACAAAGGCAAAAAGTGCAAAATGTGGCGACGGCCATGGCTGCAGCGGAACGTCTTCATGATTTTAATGATGGCTCGTTAAAACGGAATAACCCTCCACCAACTGGCAGTAGCTCTAATCTTGGGAGTGGGGGAAAGATAACTAGGTTGGACCGACCCTTCAGTTGGGGATCAGACAGGAGGTCTTTTGGGCGAGATAGCACCTAGCCTAGGACAAACAACGCAGGGATTTTCAAGCCTAGGCAACCGCTAGCTTGTTTTCTTTGTAAGGGGCCGCATCGAGTAGCTGAGTGCCCGCACCGAGGAGCCCTTAATGCCTTAAAGATCTCATCCCAAGAGTCTGCAAAAGTGCCAGAGAGCGTTGAAGAAGCTGAAGAGGAGCCAGCCAGGATGGGCTCAATAAGGTTCCTCAGTGCCCTTCGTACCCAATTGAACACTATAAAGAAAGAGCAAAGTAGAGGCTTGATGTACGTGAAACTGACGACCAAGGGAAAGCCGACCAAGGCCGGGAACATAGGGTGCAACCGACCTTTTCATCACACCAAAAGAAGCAAAAAGGGTGGTCTTCAGATTTAGTAAAGACTGTGGGCGAATGCAAGGGGGTCAATTCGTCGCCTTTACATCAGTTGTGAAGCTCTGAAAGTGTTGACAACCCGATTGGGGCCATGCGAAAGGGAAGGTTAGACTTCACAGTCTCCCCCATGGATATGGACTTGATGTCGTTCCGGATTGGACTTTCATGACGTTTGGCTCAGTTGATCCCTATCCCGCTGCTAGCTGCTTGTTGTTCTTAGGAGAACACCCATGTGTGGTGCCAGCCAATATCTTGCCAAAGAGTGGGAAGAAAATGATTTCGGCTTTGCAATTCAAGAAAGGGGTAAAGAGAAGGGAACCCTCTTTTGTGGCCATGCCGATCTACAAAGAAGGGTCGAAAGTAGAACCAATACCCAATGGCGTGAAGAAAGTGTTAGAAGAATTCAGAGAGGTGATGCCAGAGATGTTGCCCAAGGTTCTACCCCCTCGACGAGCAGTGGACCACGAAATTGAGCTCCTCCCAGGGGCAAAACCCCCTGCTAGAGCTCCCTATCGCATGGCCCCGCCAGAGTTGGCCGAGCTGAGAAAACAGTTAGATGAACTTCTACAATTCGGGTTCATCCGACCATCAAAGGCTCCTTTCGGAGCGCCAGTGCTATTCTAGAAAAAGCATGATGGGAGTTTACGCTTATGTGTTGACTACAAGGCTTTGAACAAAGTCACCGTAAGAAACAAATATCCTATCCCGCTCATAGCAGACTTGTTTGATCAATTGAGCAGGGCCAAGTACTTCTCCAAACTGGACCTGAGATCAGGATACCATCAGGTCAGAATCCTCGAGGGAGATGAGCCGAAGACCACTTGTGTAACACGGTATGGTGCATTTGAATTCCTTGTTATGCCTTTTGGACTAACCAATGCTCCTGCCACATTTTGTACACTGATGAATCAGGTGTTTCATGACTACCTAGACAAGTTTGTAGTCATTTATTTAGACGATATAGTGGTATATAGCTCCACGTTGGAAGAACATCAAGAACACCTGCGTCAGGTATTTCAAAGGTTACAGGACCACCAGTTATATGTAAAAAGGGAGAAGTGTGCATTCGTTCAGACCCAAATCCATTTTCTCGGTCACATTGTCGAACGTGGTCACATCCGAATAGACATGGAAAAGGTCAGGGCCATCAAAGAGTGGACGATACCGAAGAATGTTAGTGAGCTCCGCTCCTTTTTGGGACTAGCCAATTATTATAGAAGGTTTGTGGAAGGGTACTCTCGTAAGACCACGGCCCTCACGGAGCTATTGAAGAAGGAACATAAATGGTGTTGGATGAACGAGTGTCAAGAGGCCTTTGAGGGATTGAAGGATGCTATTATGAAGGATCCCATCTTAGCTCTCCCTGATATTGAAAAGCCTTTTGAAGTCCAGATGGATGCATCAAATTTTGCTATTGGAGGTGTGCTTTTACAACAACATCACCCGGTAGCATTCGAAAGTAGAAAGCTGAGTGAAGCTGAAAGGAAATATACAGCCTAGGAGAAAGAGCTCCTTGCGGTGGTTCATTGCTTGAGGACTTGGCGGCATTACTTGTTGGGTTCGCACTTTGTCGTGAAGACAGACAACACAGCCGTTAGCCACTTTCTCACCCAACCAAGATTCACGGCGAAACAAGCTAGGTGGCAAGAATTTTTAGCTGAGTTCGATTTTTGTTTTGAGCATACCGCGAGAAAGACTAATCAAGTGGTGGATGCCTTGAGCAGGCGGCCAGAGTTAGCGGCCCTCAGAAGAATGGCCCCAATGGCAGCTAGCAGAGCCACTACAGGCATCCATAAGTTGATTAGAGATCATTTAGGGAAAGACCCGCAAGCCTGTGCCATTTTGAAGCTAGTGGAAGAAGGGAAGTCCAAACATTTCTGGAAAGAAAATGGGGTCTTGTGGACCAAGGGACCTCGAGTCTTTGTGCCAAGAGCAGGAGGTCTGAGACAGATGCTGATGAGGGAGTGTCATGACACCCCATGGGTGGGACATCCGGGCTGGCAGCGCACGTTGGCGTTATTGAAACAAGGATATTATTGGCCCCAAATGCGACAAGATGTGATGGAATATACGAAGACTTACCTCATTTGCCAACAAGACAAAGTCGAGAAGAGGAAACCTGCAGGTATGCTTGAACCATTATCGGTACCTACCAAATCGTGGGAAAGCATCTCCCTCGATTTCATCTCGAGCCTACCCAAGGTTGGCGATCTTGGAGCTATCTTGGTGGTGATTGATCGGTTCTCTAAGTATGCCACATTCATTCCCGCTCCCAAGTACTGTACAGCGGAGGACACAGCTCGACTATTGTTCAAACATGTGGTCAAGTATTGGGGCCTCCCCCAAAACAGTGTCAGCGATAGAGATCCCAGATTCACGGGGTCCTTTTGGAGAGAACTTTTCAAGATTTTGGGGTCCCAACTCAACATCTCCTCGAGCTATCACCCTCAAACTGATGGCCAAACAGAGCGGTTCAATGGATTGTTAGAGGAATACTTGAGGTATTTTGTCCACGCCAACCAAAAGAACTGGCCCTCATTATTGGACGTTGCTCAACTCTGTTTTAATTCCAACAAAAGCTCTTCCACTAACAAGAGCCCATTTGAGGTGGTCACCGGACAATTACCAAGGCTACCCCACACTTCTTTGGAACAATATGGAGGAAAAAATCCCAGAGCATTCAACCTCAGTAAGGAGTGAAAACAAAACACGGAGATTGCACAAGCCTACTTAGAGAAAGCGTCAAAACGGATGAAGAAA